CATTGAAAAGTCCATACAATGTTACTTGTGTGTACATGATTTCAGAGCTGACCGCTTGATAGTGGATGACTAATTGCTGAGCTCTTCCCTGGGGAAGCATTCCTCGGTTGCCTGTAGTTCTTTGTCTAGGGTTGAGGCCTCATGAGATTTTCACCCTTCCATCCTAGCATGTCGAGGTGTGTTGTTATTGCTCAGGTCATGTTTAAGCAGTCATGTTAGTGAGACTTCATGAGTGTAGCTTCTCTGACATTTCTACTCTGGCTCTTACAATCTTTCTGCCTCCTCTTTCGCAGTGATTCCTGAACTGAGCAGGTTGTATTTAGATATTTAGCAGTGTGTGTGTGTGTGTGTGTGTGTGTGTGTGTGTGTGAGAGAGAGAGAGAGAGAGAGAGAGAGAGAGAGAGAGATGCATGTGAGAGGGTGTGTGTACCAGAGTAGATGTATAGAGGTCAAAGCACAACTTCACAGAGTTGGCTTTCTCCTTCTATCTTTATATGGGTTCCATAAATTGAACTCAAGTCTACAGTCTTGACCAGTGAGCACCTTCCCCTACTGAGCCATCTCACTGGCCCTCTCCCCAATCTTTAATCTGAGAAAACTGAAAAATCATAGAAAGAAGAGCAGTATGAGCATGAGGGAAGAATAAAATATCTCAGTTGCTTTTATTGGTGTGATGACTGAGGGCACAAACCACAGGACCTCATGGTTTTCATTTTGTGAAGTGGGAATACCTCATAATCTAACACAGGGGCATTTGACACCCAACACAGATGTTTTGTCTCCATTAGCTCACCCATTCTGGCTACTCCAGGCAAGTAAAGTAGACTTGCTTTCTCTGAGATCCAGGGAAGACGACATAAATGAGTATGTTCCTTAACTGCCCAACAAAGGAGTCACTGGCTAGCAAGGCCATTAAAATTAAAACTTTAGTTCCTTGTATCATGTTTAATAGCACACATGGTTAGTGTTATCATCATGACAGAAAATTCTACTGACTGACTATGGATAATAATGCCTCATCCCTATAATGTTCTGGGAAGCTAGTACATACTGCACACAGAAACACTAAACTTTCCATGATGGACCTTCCCATCCTGTCAACAAAATTACATGACTGATCAATAAGAAAAAGCCATCTTATATTCACTAATACACTACTGTTCACAAACAGACAGGGTTGTTATTAATCACCTGTATTATTGTTGAATACTCATTCCCACTCAAACTTAGGACCTGACTTTTCCTGTAATGTCATATATGTGTTTTATTTCCATCATCCTCTGCCTCTTATTTTATTTATTTTTTAGTGTGTGGTGCTGGCAATCAAACCAGGATCTGGGTTCACTATTGGAGTGCACTAACACAATCTTATATCCCTGCCCCAAATAGAGGTTTTCAGATAACAAGCTGACTCATCTAGATTGTAACTAAAAAAGTTGAGCCCTTAATCTATCAAATGCATTGCTCATTTCTTCCTCATACATTAGACCTTTGAGTCAACTGCAGGACATGCTGAAACACCTTTGGTTACTTGGCAACTTAGTTCCTTTCACCCTTATCTAAATGAGGAAGTTCTGCCTGAACGGTATATATAACATTTATGTTAATCTCTCTTTAGAGACTAAGTGTATCCTTTATCTTTTCTCTTGGAATCTCATGCAGATGTGGGTTCCAGAGGGAGTCCCCAGGGAAGTTACCTGTTCTTCAGTTTCCTAATCTATAAAACCCAAGTACACCTTCTTTTGAAGGTCATGTGCCTTAGGTGCAATGTCATAAGGAAGCATCTAGCTTGGCACTTGGCCCATGCCAAGAATTCGATAAAGTTGCTTATTTCATCCCAACTCCACACCTTCATGGAAAAGAATCACGAAAGAAAATGACACTTCAGTTTTCCAATGGTGTTATTAAATGTTTATTCTTCCATGAATTGTTTAGGTTCTTTCTTTTTTTTTTTCCGATACAGAAACGGTTTCTCTGTGGCTTTGGATCTTGTCCTGGAACCAGCTCTTGTAGACCAGGCTTGGCCTCGAATTCACAGAGATCCGCCTACCTCTGCCTCCTGAGTGCTGGGATTAAAGGCGTGTGCCACCAACGCCCAGCTGAATTGTTTAGATTCTATACTGCTCAGGCTATGAGTAAAAGGGTTTGTGTTGCATGCATAGACATTTACAGGACAGCCTGGCAGGCTACCTTGTCATTCTGCATGTGTTCTGGCTACCACTACACAGGATGATACAGGCAAGTAACAAGGTCTCACAGTGTTCCTATTGCACATTTTTTTCTTTTTGATTTTTCAAGACAGGGTTTCCTGTGTAGCTTTGGAACCTGACCTGGAACTCAGCCTTCAGCCTAGGCTGGCCTCGAACTCACAGAGATAGCCTGCCTCTGCCTCCTGAATGCTCGGACTAATGCCATGCACCACCACTGTCCAGCTCCTATTGCACAGTGGGCAGTGGGCAGATTCTGAGGTAGGAATTTTAATCACAGGCTCTTATCCTGGGGAGGTCACCATTCCTTAGGGTGACTCATCCACCACAACCAGTATGCTTTCTCTTAAAAGCAGCACATCATGCACTAAAGACATACTTCCTAGGCTTAAGCTTGCAGCGGTTTGCTGTGTTTTGCTAAATTGTCCCATTACCAATAAAAACTTGAGAATCAGAGTAAAAGCCTTATAGACCAAGAAGCAGAGCCGAAGTGACCATCCGACCCTCCCTTTCTTACCAACACCCGGCTAGCACCTCTTCTCTCCCAGATCAAAGAGAGCACGTGAATTCCAAGTCCTTCCCTTCTCTTTCTTGTCCATCTTCCCTATCCGTATGCCCGGCTTCTCTATGACTAACTCCTGCCAGCTAGTCACTGGCTCCGCCCCCTGATTCAAAGTACTGGCTCCGCCTCCTGATTCAAAGTTAACTTTATTAACACAGTCTAGGAGTGTCAAAGTGCCATCAAACATCCTGCAACAGCGGCTTGCAAACTACTGCCCGAGAGCCACATCTGGACTGCCTCTTTTTGGGGTACACCTGAAAGCTCAGGATATTTACATCTTAATTGGCAGGGGTAAAATTGTGTTGATAGTCAATAATTGTACGAAATTCAACTTTGTGATTATGAATCAAGTTGCACTGGAACACACTACACTGTTAACGTAAGCTCTATCAGATACTACTGGGTTATGAGAGCCAAGAAGTCGCTACTGGGAGCATGTGATGGGAAAATATTTACTATCTGGACATTTTCTTCCCCTTGAGGCAGAGCCAGAGTACGCAACACCATAGGCCAGCTCTGAGTTCCTCCTTTCCCTGGCGCAGTCTGCACCATGGCGATCCCGGGCACCTGGCACCCTTGGCTTCCCCGAGTTCTCAACTGTGTAACAAAAGCACCTATCTCCCAGGAATTTATGAGGACATCACATATTGGTAAATGCTTTGAACGTCAAATATATATATATATATATATATATATATATATAGAGAGAGAGAGAGAGAGAGAGAGAGAGAGAGTAGATATATAGATATAGATAGATAGTCATTATTAGCTGCTACATTTTTTTTCCTGAACCCAAAGCAGCCGGAACTTACTAATTTGTTGGCAATCATTGTCAGATTTTCATTTACAGCACTCCATTAAAGTTCACTTCTTAAGGGAAAGGGAGTAAGACTCTAATGACTCCTAATGTAGCAATTAGCATAGTCACTTGTCCATAAAACTAATCCTGCATCAGTTACAAGCATTTTATTAGGGACACATTGCTTGTTTGCTTGCTTGCTTTTCAAACTTGAGTCCTGAAAGAGCTTAAACTAAATGCCAGCTCAACGCTGATCATCTTGCTGATTAAAGTTCCGAAACACAGGCCGTCTAATCCACTTGGACTGGCTACCACGGTATTTGAAAACAATAATTTTATCTCCAGAATCAGACACGAGGAAAGCCACACGTCCTGTTTTTGTTATGTGACAATGAGGACTATTAGAATTTTTCTCACTATTCAGAACTTCTGTTTTTGGAATCCACGTATCCAAAAAGGGGACTTGAGAGAGAAGTGCTGACTAGTCATCCGATGGTTCAAGCCATTGTCTCACACTATGGTCAGTCCTGTCCATTAAAGTGTTTCTCGAAATCGTAAAGTCAGAGAAACAGGCTAGCAATGATGACTCAGCGGGAGGCTGAGGCCACAAGTTCTGGGCTAGCCTGAGAGCCTGGTCCACGGAGAGAAAGGGTAAGAACAACAGAGACCCACGGTGTAACCCTTAACTGTCAAGGGCAAGCCTACAAGTTTTCTCTTGTTTCAGTTATACTAAAAAGCAAAATGAAAACTGTGAAACGTTTTCTGAACAACCCAAGTGAGTTACACATCCGTTCAGTAACGTTCACCAGGGCAGCTGTTTCTATTTGAATCATCCAGAAAAAAAAAAAAAATGCATCAGTTTTCTGCGAATGATGTGGCTGAGTGAGGCTGTCCTGCCCAGAAAATGTCCCCTTCATCTACCCGACTCCACGCACTTAGCAATCGCACCAGTTACACCCAGCTTAGCAGTTGGCAAAGAAGCAGGCCACTAGCATTCAAAGCTAAATGCCCCCTTGCACAGTACTGAAGTTTCCATCCTGTTTTCAAAGGTGTTTTCCTATGTTGATTTTAAAGTGTCTCCTTCACCCATTGGAGTTGCTCTTCAACCTGTCCCTAATAGTGCGTAGCGTTCTTATACCACCCGCCCAGTCCAACAACCGTGTAAAATAACAAACGTACCACAAAATAACACAGTAGGAAGAAGGAAAAAAAAAAAATCCCGGGGCGGTGCGTGGATGTCGGAATGTGCCACTAGGCCGGGAGGGAGAACGGGTGCCGGTGTGAACCCCGTCTGGGGCCCTGGGTCACCGCCCGACAGGGTCGCCCGGGGCGCTGGCACAGCACGGAGGCCGCAGAGAGCGGGCAGCGCGCGGGGTGGCGCGGGACGGTCCCGGATGGGTGGTGGAGGCAGAACCCACCCCCCCTTGGGGCGGTTTGGTGCGCTCCAGGGCGGCTCCGGGCGGGCGGGCGGAGTAGCAGACGAGCAGGGCTGGGGCGCAGTCTGCACCATGGCGTATCCCGGGCACCCTGGCGCCGGCGGCGGGTACTACCCAGGCGGGGTAAGTGCAGAGCTCGGGTACCGCAGCCAAGCTGCTCTCTGGGCGAGAGGGCGCCACGGACGCGCGGGAGGAGGCGCTGCGAGCGGATCCCCGATCCAGATGCTCCCCGCGCGCTCGCCTGGTCCCTGATGGCCAGATTCGGCCCCACTCCATTCTTCAGCCCCCTGCCTTCCTAGGGGTTCTCCCGGGCCAACGGGTGTGTGGGCTGCGACCCAGGAAGCCCACTCGGTGACTCGGAAATGTGGCGTGATATAGTGCAAAGTTGTGTGTTCACTTCCTGCTGTCTCTGTCTGTCTGTCTCTCTCTTTCTCTCTCTCTGTCTCTCTCTCTCCCCCTCTCTCACATCCCCCCCTCCAAAGCAACAACAGCCATCTTGATCTAGAATGGTCCCGTGGCCACTCTCTTGAAAAGAAAGTGACAGGGGGCCCCAAAAGTCCGGAGAAATGACCAGAGGAAGGCCACCTCGCCAGGTGTTAGGGAGGTACTGTTGGAGACTGAAGGACCCTCGTCTGAGATACAGCGGGGCCATGCCCCTTCCTCCCGGAATACACCTGTCACCCCTGTACCAAATCCAGCCTTACCTAGTACTTCAAGGGCTTTTAAAACTCCGTAAAAAGCTGTTTAAACAACAGGAAACTATCCCCGAGCCTTGCTGCTGAATTGCTTGCTTCGGTTCTATTCACCTCTGCAACCCCTTATTTAATAGAGATTTTTAAATGACTTCGCATATTGTGGAGACTTAATTTGGACTTAATTTCAGCTTTTAAATGTCTATGGAGCAGGAGTGGAAGAGCAGGGTGGGTCGCTGCCCTTGTGTGTGAGGTCGTGGGGGAGGGAGATGCTGTGGAGCGCAGACAGGTAGCAATTGCCTCTGCTTTGCGCCAAAGCCAGCCTCGATCTGTTCTGAAGCTTCTCATTTCCCTCTCAGCAGTATGGAGGAGCTCCTGGAGGGCCTGCGTTCCCCGGACAAACTCAGGATCCGCTCTACGGTTACTTCGCTGCTGTGGCTGGACAGGTTAGCCCTTTCTATATAATACTGAAGAGTCGTTCTATCTGTTTGTGTTATCGTTTAGTGCAGTGACAGCTAAGAGAACTTCATCCTGGAACTGAGCCCCTTTGCCTGGGCAAAAGAGGAAAAAAAGAACGGAGAACCCAAACATTCTTATTTTAGTCCCGAACAAAGTTGGACAGAGACTACCTGTATTCGTGCTAGATCAGTTCAAAGCTAAACTTGCCACTGCACTAGGGGTTCGGCTGAACCAAAAGGGGATTGCAAATATGCTTTGAAGGTCTGTGCAGTTATGCCTTTAGAACTGTGTCATCGGGATAGAGCAAGAGTTGCTTACAGAGAAGAAATCAAAGTTCTAAACATAAAGCCCCTGTCCAACCTAAAGGCGTGTTATCAGTAATTCCATAGCCCAATTATGACAGACACCTACTTTCAGGTGAGTTTGATAATCAGTCATTTATCCCCTCAGGAGGTAGAGAAGAACTGTAAAGAGCCCCAGGCTTCCAGGCTGTCCTCTGTCCTTGCTGTAGATGCTCTTCTGCAAGCTTGTCTATGTCCTTATTAGGTATTATGGCCTGCTGACCCTGGGAAGGAATTCAGGTCACCTAGTGACAAGTCCTAGGTCCCACTTTCCTCCCTTAGAGTTGTGTGACAGTTTGTGGCAGCTGTGAGGAAGGACACTTGCCCAGCTTGCAAGGTCACTCTGTGTTTGGTAAATGTGCTGTTGAGTAACCCAGATGTATCCAGAGGGGATCTTTATCCCTGCTCATTCACCTTAGACTTGTTTTAACAACAAGAGCCAGAAAGAAGGAAGTCAAGGAAAAAAAAAAAGGATACTGTAGAATATACCAAGCAAAACCCTCGGGTCGCCTTTGGAAGGGGTACTCGGTACTCTAAGAAACACAGCGTTGAGAATTTGAATGGAAAATTGAGTCAAAGACCGGGAGACTTTCCTCTCCAGTATCTACTTAATCTGTTATTGATCTGTGTCTTTGAAACCGCAAGACGTAGCACACCTCAAGCCTAGCATTCTTAGATTGCCGGTGTCTCTGGCGTGTAAGTGACCCGCCTGCTTGGCTTTCAGCAGCCCTGGCCTCTATTCCTCACCTTCACCATTAATAATTTCAAGTTATTGTTCCCTACTCATAACAGTGGATCTCACCAACTTGGATTGATGTATTTTATTTAAAATCCCTTAAAAAAAAAAAAAAAAAGAGCCATACCTAGTTTTGACCTCACTCAGCCAATAAGATGGTCTGGGAGCCCACCATGCATCTTCTCCATTTAATTGTGCTCAGAAAACAATTCCTAAGTCATAAATTCATCCAAGAGCCTCTTGCCCCTTGGACCAGGCCTTGTATTTACTGATGCCTGGAAGGTCTGCTGTACACCCTACTTTCTCCCTCTCTCAAAATGGGGTTGAGGAATATGTTTTTAAACAATTCCAAAGCTAATTGTATTTAAAATGATTAGTTTTGATCGTTTCTCAGCTCAAACTGAGTGGAGATTGTTTGCCATAACAAATGCTCTCTCATCAACTTCTTTTTGGAATTAGCGTAAGGAGAAGAGTGCCCAATTTTGAAAGGCATTCCTTTAAAAATGCTAGATATAGTCACTTTCTCTTGTCCTTGTGACTTAAGAACTTGAAAGTGCAGATCACCATCATGATTCCTCTTCCTGTGTTTTGTCTGCTGGCTTGTTTTGTAAGGATGGACAAATTGATGCTGACGAGTTGCAGAGATGTCTAACGCAGTCTGGCATTGCTGGAGGATACAAACGTAAGTTCATGGACTTAGATTCTAATAATCCCCTCGTCCTCTGGACTTCAGCTGTTAACCGTGATTGTGCCTGTAAAGGCAGCAAACTTTTCCGATCCACTAAGCTATTATTTTTTTATGTTAGTTGAGCACAATTTCTAAGTCACCAGTCTGTGAGACAGGTTAGTGGATCTCTTGGACTTGGGTTCCCTGTGGACAGAACCATTCAGACAGTTTGGGTGGCCTCCCTTACAGAGGACAAGTTAGGGTGCTGAAACGGAATCCTCCAGGTCGGGTATCGTTAATGGTAAGTGCTAGCACGTACCACTGACCGTTTGCAGAGTGCTTATTCTACCCTAACTCTGGGGCCCTGAGACAGCGGCCGGTCCTGCAGTCTGATCTGGGGGCCCTGGACTTGCTACTTGGCAACACAAGCGCTTGCTGGCTGTGACGTCATCCCCGAGGCCGTTCTTCCCTCCGCCTGAGAAGGTGTGTTCACGCTGAGGACAGTGAGGACAGAGCTCCCACTCCGCTGTCACCCCGTGCTAGCCTTCCTGCTCTTCCTGAGTTCTTTGGCGGCTAGATGTGCAGCGCTGTTGTCCAACATGTCCCTCTTTCCTGCCTTTCCAGTACTGTGCTCCAAGCTGCAAGGAGAATTAAACACTGCCAAGATCCTGCATCATCTCATACACTCTGCTTTAAAAAAAAAAATCAAGGGGGTTGGTGGCGCACACCTTTAATCCCAGCACTCGGGAGGCAGAGGCAGGCAGATCTCTGTGAGTTCGAGGCCAGCCTGGTCTACAGAGCGAGTTCCAGGACAGGCTCCAAAACAATACAGAGAAACCGTGTCTCGAAAAACCAAAAGCGAAAGAAAAAGAAAAAAAAAATCTAGCCTTGAACAAAAGTGTCTAGGACAAGTAATAGTGTCTTAGCCCAGCTGTGCTCCTTCTAACTTCTTTCCATTTGTTAATTGACTCATAACATCAAACTGACACCACCCCTTCATAGTGAGCTCTGAGTTAAAGTGTTCCAGCTGGAATTCATTCCTCAGCACGTGCTATGGCATTTTCAGCTGTTTGAGGTGCTGTATGTTCTAGATGGATGTCTTTATTTCTTTTTTCCACCAATTTTTTTCACTTTTTAAAATTTAAGTTCAATTTAATCTTTTTAATTTAAATTAATGTCAATCCCAGCTCCATCTCCCTCCCCTCCTCCCCCACCCCCCTACCAGGTCCCCAGCCCCCCTCCCAGTCTCCCTCCACTCTGATCCCCAGGGAGGGTGAGGCCCTCCATGGGGGATCTCCAGAGTCTGTCATTTCATCCAGGGCAGGGCCTAGGCCCTCCCCCCAAGAGTCCAGGCTGAGAGAGCCTCCCTCATTGTTTGCCCCATAGATTGCCTAGGCCTCCTCGCTGACACCCACACTCAGAGGTCTGGATCAGTCCCATGCTGGATTCCCAGTAGATGGCCATCTTTAAAACACCCAGTTTCTGTTGTTACCACATCTTGTGTAACCTCAGTGTCCTATTTCTATTTCCTATTTGGGAAATTAATTCTAAAGAGAAAAGTGTTTCAAATTTCTGTCGTTTTAATTTGGTCCTAAACAAGAGAAGCACTTTCTAGGTAAGGGGAACTGAACAGTGGCGATTATGTTTAAATGGTTAATTTTTTAACCTTGGGCAGTTGAGGTAAACAAGGAAGATTTAATGGTGTTTGTCCAGTGAGGTATCTTAATAGCTACAGCCTTTCAGGAGAAGAGACGTACCACATTTTAAGAGAGACCAAAGCGTTGCTTGGAAGTCACTTTCGTGATGGCCTTAGACCAATGCATTTAAGAAGACATTTCCTGAAACACAGGGACCATGTGATCTAGTTAATTAGCTTGGTTCCCTCTCATAGCCGTGGTGTACCACCCAACTTCTGGGCTGCTAAGAGTTCTCTACAATACAGAAACCATAAAGCGCCCCTTTTTAGTCCCAGATTCCAAGTCATAGTCCACAGACTTGGAGCTGAAGGGGGCCTGTTGGATACTCCAGACAAGAAGCAGTCAGCCTTGGAGGGGGACTTGATGGGGAATGTTCCCATCTCCACAAGAGAAGTTCTTCTCCTTTCCCTGAATTTGGTGGTTGCTCTGCAGGAAGCTGGGGAGAAGCAGGTAGGGTAGGCTTCCTTCCTTTCTAAGTCTGGTGCATTGTTTCTGCTGGATGGAAAGGCATCTGAGGCGAGGCAGTAGAGCGAACGGAAGCAGCAGCGGGTGGGAAGTCACCACATGGATGGTTTTGAAATGATATCGAATGATTGGCATTAACAAAAGCTGTTTCCAGGTGAAAATGCAGGGAGTGAAACCTATTTGCCTCACCTAATCCATTGGACGTCTGTGCTCCAGCTCTGTTTACCTCTGTGTCTCCTAACATACAGACCCTCCATCTGTAAATCGCTTGTTGGTTGGCTGTTGGCTAACATGTTGGAAAAATATCAGAATAGAGACATTAGCTGAACATGGTAATGTGTGCCTAGAGTCTGCTCATTAGAGAGGTGAAGGTCGGAGGGACCAGAGTTTAAAGTCATCATCTACATAGAGGTTAAGGTAGCTTGGGCTACATGAAACTGTCTCAAAAAAGCCAAATAAGTAAATTAAAGAAAATGAAGAAACCATGGGCCTATAGCTGCATTGGTATTTTATATAAGATATACAACTTTTAAGTATCAGTCAAACCCAAATATCCTATTAACAAAATAATAACCAATGCTGACATATACCTTTAATCCTAGCACTTGGGAGGCAGAGGCAGGTGGATCTCTGTGAGTTCAAGGCCAGCCGGGTCTACAGAGCAAGTTCCAGGACAGCTAGGACTATTACACAGAGAAATCCTGTCTCAAAAAAACAAAATAATAATAACAACAACAACAACCCGCATTTTCCTTTAGCCTTCCTGAAAGAGGCATACTGGCATACTTCTATGCTAAACCACAGCTCCTGTCTAGGGGTGAGGATCCAGGCCATCCCGTCACTCATCCCTTCAACCAACCAGTCCATTTCTGATGAATAGTTACGGAAACAGCTCTCCCTGGTGAAGATCACAGAGATAACTACTGAGGCTGGGGCCATAACAATAGGCACATGGTCAAGACAGGCGTGTGCCTGCAGAATTGATACCCACGCTAGAGAAGAAATGAAAGTCCAGCCACAGTGATGCCTCCTGGGGATGCTGTATGTACATAACTCAGGTAGACAGAACAGTGTATATGTGCAGAATTCAGGTAGACAGAACAGTGTGTATGTGCATAACTCAGGTAGACAGAACAGTGTGTATGTGCAGAATTCAGGTAGACAGAACAGTGTGTATGTGCAGAATTCAAATAGACAGAACAGTGTGTATGTACATAACTCAGGTAGACAGAACAGTGTGTATGTGCAGAATTCAGGTAGAGAGAACAGTGTGTATGTACATAACTCAGGTAGACAGAACAGTGTGTATGTGCAGAATTCAGGTAGAGAGAACAGTGTGTATGTACATAACTCAGGTAGACAGAACAGTGTGTATGTGCAGAATTCAGGTAGGCAGAACAGTGTGTATGTGCAGAATTCAGGTAGACAGAACAGTGTGTATGTACATAACTCAGGTAGACAGAACAGTGTGTATGTGCAGAATTCAGGTAGACAGAACAGTGTGTATGTACATAACTCAGGTAGACAGAACAGTGTGTATGTGCAGAATTCAGGTAGACAGAACAGTGTGTATGTGCAGAATTCAGGTAGACAGAACAGTGTGTATGTGCAGAATTCAGGTAGACAGAACAGTGTGTATGTGCAGAATTCAGGTAGACAGAACAGTGTGTATGTACATAACTCAGGTAGACAGAACAGTGTGTATGTGCAGAATTCAGGCAGGTAGACAGAACAGTGTGTATGTACAGAATTCAGGCAGATAGACAGAACAGTGTGTATGTGCATAATTCAGGCAGATAGACAGAACAGTATGTATGTACAGAATTCAGGCAGATAGACAGAACAGTATGTATGTGCAGAATTCAGGCAGTTAGAACAACACTATGTTTGAAAGCCCCAGAGGGAGTATGGTTCAGCTATGGAAGTGAGAAATTCCCTGTGGAGATCTTGCTGGCCGTTGGTGAACTGGGAAAATTCCCGAAGGTCCTCACATGTAGAGGTTTACCCTGAGATCAGAACAGCCCACAGCATTCTGTATGGGAGAGCACTGCCACGCCAGCCGTACGGTAAAGACTACACTGAGAGTATAAAACAAAGACTCCACTTTAAAGGAAATAAAGGAAGTTTATTCTGAGCCAAACATGAAGGACTGTGGTTCAGGAACATCAACTCAAGTTAGCTTAAATGACATGTTCGACTATGGAAGATGTCACATGAACTTGTATAGTCAAGAATTAAAAGGAAGTCATGAATAAGGACATTTGCCATTTCCATTGGTGGGGAGATCTCACTACAGCAAAGTCGGGACCCATAGCTTTCAGATGTTAGAACATTCATGGCTATAGGATTGGTAGATGCCGGAGGCCAGGGACGTGTAGTGAGACACTTTAAAGAGTATTTCTGCTGAGTTAGGAGGACAGTAGATCAGATCCAAAAGTTAGGCCAAGTAATCCAAGATAATTCTAGCTTGCGAACTGTAGCGTTCTGTCTACACAGAGTTCTGCTTAGCCAAGATTAGCTGTCTGAGTTCCAGATCTTACTAGGGACTGGGAAGTGGCTTACTGAAATCAAGTCAGGCACAGCTGTTAAGGAGCACTTGGAGTGCTGCATCTTGAGGAAATGGCTGGACCAGGAGTAACAGTGGGGCTGCCAGGCGATCCTAACCCTATGTACAAGGGACTGCGTCCTGGGGAGGGGGATAGGGGTTCCTACAGGTATCTCTAACATGGGCAGATACATGTAGTAAAAATTTTGAAACTGGACCATGTTGGCCTCACGGACCCACAAAATTGGTATAAGCCAAACACCACAAAATGGTGAATGAGTAGCATGTTTAAAAATTCATAATTAATTCGAATGATTCCAATGTAATATGAAATTTCGAAATTGCACATATTCATGTACTTTCTTTGATTCAACAGCTTTTAACCTGGAGACTTGTCGCCTTATGGTTTCAATGTTGGACGTATCCTTTGCCTTCATGGCTGTCTAGAGTGTTTCTCCACAGCAAAAAGAAAAATATCTTTCGAAGACATTTCATCTCAGGATGAATAACAAGTAAATATAAAATAACAAGCAACCACCAAAAAGCTTGATGAAATAACTAGCCGTTTGGATGTAATTTGGTATGAAAAACAGGCAGAAAGTTTAGTAAATGGAAGACTGGTTGTTCAAGATTGCACAAGGAGGCAGAGGTGTGGTGGCTCATGCCTGTAATCACAGCACTCAGGATGCTGGGGCAGGAGGATCACTGTGAGTTTGAGGGCAGCATGGGCTGTACTGTGAGTTGGAGGTGAGCCTGAACTGTGGAGATCCTTTCTCAAGAGGGATGGGTGGGAGAGTGTGTTAGAGTTAGTTCAGTAAGGCATCAAAGTAGAGACGAATGCCAGCCAGACATTCGTTTGAGTCTGGCTACTCTGGCTACTGTGTCACCCGTGGCTAAACTCACTCCCGACAGCTGGAGTCACTGGTTCTGAGGGCTTAGAATATCAGAACCCGTGGCCTGCAGCACCCAGGAAAGCACACCCAATTCCACTAAGAAAGCTGCTTTTTACTTGGTTCGTAATGCCCTGTCATCACGTGTTTGGAGTTTTAAAGCCATGGGCCATTTATTGCACCGTTTGCCATTAATGTTTTGTATCAGAGCGACAAGAGTATAGGATAGCTTTTTTAAAATTTGGGGTGTCGTTTTGCCATTTTAACGGAAGGAATATTGATTCCCCTTGCCCCTTCCTCAATCTCTTGTGAAATCATTAAAGCTGTGAGATAAGACAGTTCGGGGCCTTGACCACACTCCAGAGAGACATGTCTGGCACCATGGGATTCAATGAGTTTAAAGAGCTCTGGGCTGTGCTGAATGGCTGGAGACAACACTTCATCAGTTTTGACAGCGACAGGAGTGGCACCGTGGACCCCCAGGAACTGCAGAAGGCCCTGACGACGATGGGTTCGTATTACCAACTGGAGCTCTCCTTCCCCGGCCAAACGTGTTCTGTTTGTCCCTAAAAGCAGACAGTTTCTTTCTTTGTTTCCGTTGTTTGTTTTTGATGGTTTTGATATTGTTGCTGTTTGGGGATTTTGTTGTTGTTGTTGTTGTTTTCTTATGTCTTTACAAGCCTTCAACCTTTTCTTGCTGGGTGATTTTTCTGCCTTCCAGGATTCAGATTGAACCCCCAAACTGTGAATTCAATTGCAAAGCGATACAGCACCAGTGGGAAGATCACTTTTGATGACTACATAGCCTGCTGTGTCAAGCTGAGGGCTCTCACAGGTGTGTCCCCAAAACCTTTCAGCATGACCAGCCTGGAGGCCTCTTTTTATGACATTTCTCATTTCTCCATGCCTCTTTTTTTCTTTTTTCTTTAAATTAGAAACATGCATGCTTCAAATGTCAATCCCAGCTCCCCTCCCTTGTCCCTCCGCCAGCCCCACCCCGAGCCCAATCCTGACTTCATTCCCCAGGGAGGGTGAGGCCCTCCTTGGGGGGCTCTCCAGCGTCTGTCATTTCATTCAGGGCAGGACCTAGGCCCTTCCCCATGTGTCCAGGCTGAGGGAGCATCCCTCCATATGGAATGGGCTCCCAAAGTTCATTCATATGCCATGGTGAACACTGATCTATTACCCAAGGGCCCAGAGATTTCTGAGGCCTCCTCACTGACACTGCATTCGTGGATTCTGGATCAGTCCCCTGTTGGCCTCTTAGCCATCAGTCTGGGGTTCAGGAGCTCCCCCTTATCCGGTCAACTGTCTCTGTGGGTTTCACCAGCACGGTCTTGACTCCTTTGCTCATCACTCCTCCATCTCTTATGCCTCTTAACTTCCATTCCTCCTGGTTCTTACTATGTTTTTAGGGGTATATTAGTAGACCCTTAATACAGCTCTTAAGTAAATGGAGCATAATATGCTACTCAGCTTTTTTTTTTAGATGAATGAGTAATTATAGTACATTTTATTAAAATGCTGCAGATATAATCGTCTATATTTTAAATGTGTTGTGGTGCTACGGTCACAGACTGCTCACACATGCTAGGTAAACCCTGGACCATGTGCTACATCCACAGCCCTGCTTTGTGCAATTGCAATCACAGAGTGCAGTTATGAGTAACTCTCTTCATCTGTGAAACGTTTGAAAAGAGTAAAAGTAAAGATAATCATTTTTGATTGGTCAGCGGGGCTAAAACGAGTGGGATATTTGGTCACAGTCCACTTATCATATTAGGAACTGTATCCATATGTTTCCTTGCTTAGGCAGCGTTTGTGCTACTACAGTGTTTATAGCCCCGTGCTTTCACTGCGGTTAAGGGCCTTGAGAGCCAGAATGCTTCTACTGAGACCAATCGTTTTTCTCAGATGCATGTCCATGGGCCACCTGCTGCCCAGGATGTTACTGCTGTATATTAAATCTTTTAATACTCCCATAGCTGACTACCTTTATTTGGCCTTATGCTGACTGGTTGTAGAATGTATTATTGGAGTTTGATCCCAATGTCAAATAGTTAAAAAAAAATAACTACATTTTACTGTGTTGTTTTGCAGATAGCTTTCGAAGACGGGATTCTGCTCAACAAGGAATGGTGAATTTTTCATATGATGATGTAAGTTTCAGCAAATAAGAGCTAATAAGACATACTGTACATAAAAGGATATGGTGGCTCATGCATGCACTCAAGAGACTGAGGCAGGTGGATTGCCATGAGTTCAAGGCCAGCCTGAGCTATGCTTGTGAGACTCTGCCTCAAACAAACAAACAAACAAACAGAAAACATAACAGGACATGGTGGTTCATGCCTCTAATCCCAACACTTCTGAGGATGAGGCAGGGGAATTACTTCAAATTCCAGCCCGGCCCTGTTGCTTTTATTGACTGGGTCATATAAGTAGATCTCCCTGTGGCACTCAGACTGAGTGAAGCAGACATCATAATAACGATGCCTCTTTCAGCATCGTTATGGGATGATGGTGTGGTTGGCAGACAAACATGAGCACCTGAGTTCAATCCCCAGAACCCATGTGCAAAACACAGGAGACAGGCGGGTCTGGTGCTTGCTGATACTCCAGCCAAGCCTGCTTAGTGAGCTCAAGGCCAGTGAGAACCACTCTCAAAAGGTGGCCAGTACCTGAGGCATGACACTGGAGGCTCTCCTTTAGGCTCTCCTTTAGCCTCCACAAACATGTGCATCCCGACACACAAGCATGCACCCACATACACATGTATGCGAAGTAACAATGAGGCCTCTTTGGTGTCCTGAGATGTCCTGGGATGCAGACGTGTCATCGGCTCCTATCCTGTCTGAAACACGTCACACACAGGTAGCTTACATTACAGCTGTGCTTTGCATACCTGTGCTGTTCCTTGAGAACATAAGGCCAACTGAAAGCACAATTTAAAGCAAGCTGTTTACGGTGATGACTCCGGGAGGGGAAAAAGTATAGACTTTGGCATCAGAGGGAACCCGTAAAGAGGTTTCTAGGTGTTCCTTTTCTCTCAAATTAAATCATCGGGTTGGCTTAGCAGAATTGTTGTAAGATTAGCACTGGGGCTCCTTGCCAGTGCTGGAGTATAAGCTTGGGGGGGGGCAGAGTCTAGTACAGTAGTTCTCAACTGTGGATCTCAACCTCTTTGGGAGACCTAACAACTTTTTCATGGGAGTCACATAATCAGATATCCTGCATATCAGATATTTACAGCGATTCATAGCAGTAGCAAAACTATGGTTTTGAAGTAACAATGAAGATAATTTCATAGCTGGTGGTCACAGCATGAGGAACTGCACTAAAGGGTTATCAGGAAGCTTGAGAGGCTCTTGTCTAGGGGGTCTGCAGGGCAGAGTCAGCAACGCACAGCAAATCCTGCTGTTGCTAAATGTACATTTCTGAGTTGCTGGAGCAGGGTCAGCTTTTCTCTCTGTGTGCACGGCTTTGACCTGACGGAGCAGATTGGGTCAAAAGTTCCCTGCTCTGCCGGGCGGTGGTGGCGCACGCCTTTAATCCCAGCACTCGGGAGGCAGAGGCAGGCGGATCTCTGTGAGTTCGAGGCCAGACTGGACCGACAGCCTCCAAAACAATACAGAGAAACCCTGTCTCATAAAAACAAAAAACAAAACAAAACAAAAAAAAAGTGCCCTGCTCGAGTAGCAGGGCGAAATCAGTTTGGAAGTCCTCACATGATACGGCAGTGTAAACTTGCTGTTTGTTCTTGTGGGCAAGTACTTTGGACCATGACTGTTTCTAGACTCTTAAATCCTATTTGAGACTTAAATTCTTTATCTGGTGAAGTGATTCCTCCTTCCCATAAAGTGAGGGACTCATCGGATTTTACAATAGAAAGTTCCCCTACCAGTAAGATCCTCCGCGGCCTGCTGTTCATTTATGCGTAACTTTGAAAGTTGGGATATTTTGTTCTTTTTGTTTACCCACAATGCCAAGATAAGGAACTAAAATGGAAGCTGCCCCTAGAGAGGCTAACACCTTCAGTATTTTGCAGTCGGTAGTGTAACACTAATTGTCCTCTTTAAGTTCATTCAGTGTGTCATGACCATCTAAGTCAAGACGAAGTTGTCTGAGTTTACTCAACATTCCAACTGGAGCCCGCGCTTGCTTCCTCCTGGTCTTCAGTGCTGTGTGCAGATTTCCACCAACACTCCCTGACAACTGTTGAGCGGGATTGTGACTTTATATACAACTGAAGCTTCATTTTTAATTTTGATAATAAATTCTTGAAGTTCAATAATATAAGAGCAAGTCTATTGTACCAGCCAGACCCTCCTTGAGCCATTATTAACCATGACTTATTTTCCTGCTGTCTTTTATATAAACTTAAGTATGCAGAAATGTTTAAAGCATATTATATATTTTCTTGTGACATGAAGTCTTTTCATCAGATTTAGCTGTTATCCTTTCTTGCCCTGCGGAATGTGATTATGGTTTGTGTGAGATATTCTTATATAAGTGGTTTAGGTCCACAGGGGTACAAAACAAACCAATGCACATGATAATCCACATACTAGAAAAAAAGTGCAAACCGTAGGACTCACCGGGCTTGAAAGCCTTGAGTGGACAGAGGTACTGAATGACTGTTGTCTGCCTCTTTAGAAGCCTATAGATAATTTCAATGGCAAAAATCCTGTCACCACATCCTTCTTTGTCATCGATCCAAACTTTTGCTAATTATACCTAAAAGTCTTCTATATGATAAGCTTAAAATTAACAGAAAAAAAGATTGAAGGGACATAAGACTATATTAACTATTTATCTTTGACTAATGGGATTCTAGATGACTTTAATTATGTATTTCCATATCTCACAAAATTTTATAGTGTGTATGCTTCCAGATGTTGGGGGTGGAGTTGGTAGATGTAGCTCAGCAGTTAAGAGCATGCCCTGCTTTTGCAGAGGACTCAAGTCCCCAGCACCCATGTTGGGTGACTTATCGGCTGCCTCTGGCCTCCACAGGCACCTGCACTCAGATGCATATACTCTGGGACAGAAAACTGACGGGATCATTTTGAAAGCACTGTTGAAATCCATTTTTAAATGTAATGTGTTAATATACTGAAACATACACAAGAAAGGAACTGAAATGAATGAGTCGATTGTTGACCTGGCATAAACCACTGGGAGTAGGATCTCCCTTCCCACTAAATTTCCAAGTATTCTGTCATCAGGTTTCACACACACACACACACACACACACACACACACACACACACACACACACACACACACAAGAAACTTTTTTTTCAAGGGTTTGACTAATCGGCTTGCTGGCGATGTCTTGCTATGCATGTGGCTTGGCCATTTTATGTAAGGACAAGACACTCAGTATCACCATCTTTAAGAGGATCCTTATCCCATGGGGTGGTTCTGAGTGTGCAGACGTGTGTTGATAGGAAAAGCATCTGCGGTGTTTGTCTCTTACAGTTAGCTAAAAAAACAACGGTAACACTCTTCTAGATAGCAATGCATCTGTCTTGTTGGGCATACAAGTGGACGATTAACTCTCAACTGGTGAAATAAACATTTCATAAGCGTCTCAAGCCTCATTTCACAAATGTTGATAATGTTAGTATATACATTACATATATGTAGTCATTCCGTGTTTGCTGACCCTAACTTACTATGTCTTTAGCCAGTACTTATGTTCAGGTTACGTGCCTGCTGTGTCTTATATGGCAACTCTGGGTTTCATTTCAGATGTTTTATCTGTACTGTCACAGAATTTTGCTTCACCCTGGGCCCAGGCTGTCCAGGAAAGGAACAGGGGTGCTCAGAGGACGAGGAGGCTGGGACTGTTCTATAAAGTCCTAATACTTGCTATGAGGTTTAAAGTGACCCAGATCTTCTGAGAAAATTAGAGTTTAAAGAAATGATCATTTCCTAGGTGAATATAAGCAATAAGGAAACTAACCCTAAGGAGATGAGCCCATAGTTAAGCCTCCTGTCATTTGCATAACCCCCAAGATGTGCTACTTAGGTTTCGGTTCCAAATTCGCTTCTGGGTACATCCTCAAGTATTATAAATCGTGTTTCTGGTGTTCAGGTTTTAACAATCAATAGTTCAAGACAAATCTTCATCAAGAGTTAAATGTCATAGGGCAAGTTCCTTGCTTCCTCATTAGATGGACAGCCCAACAAATGGAATACCAATTTTTGTCCCATCTCATGGACCATGAGAACGGAATCTTCTGACAGCTTCTCAGAGACACTGGCCAGGAAGAAAAAAATGGAAAGAGCTACTCATCAAAATAACATAAATCTTTTATTGAAAGTCACTTTATTGATGTTACAATGAGAGTAACATAGAAAACTCTGATATCTTATTAGCTTCAGAAGTGAACACTAATAAAATTGTGCCAGAAAGTTAAATCTCCAGTTACAGTGACCTTTAAAAACAGCAAGATTTTGTTTACCTACAATATGAGAACAACTTTATAACTTGAACGGCCATAAAAACAAACCACGCTTGTTTAGGAAGGCAATCACCATTTACATTTCTGTTGGCATTTGCCAAAACCCAGGAGTTTTAAAATAGTACAAGTACAGGAAGTGCGTGTGGAGTAGCAGAGAGGAGGCTTGAGTGACGTGAATCTAAGTATACACACACGAGACCCTGGTTAGTCCAAGTGAACCATACTGATTCTCTTAACATGTCCCCAGTGGGTGGCCTCTGTTATCTTAGACAGGCCTCACCCTGAGGCTGTGAGTGTGGGAAGCACTGGCAGAGACCTAATGCCAACTAAGATGAACTGCTTTGGTTAGGCAAAATGAGCCATGTCTGGAAATGGCCACTTGGAAATGCTAGTTTGGAGGGACAAGTCTTCCAACAAGTAAAAAAAAAATGCTCTGTAACCTGAAGGAACCTTTTGCTAAGCACTTTGCAGTTAGTGTTAAAGAAAAAAAAAAGCTTTCCATTAAAAGAAAAAAGGGCGTTGGGTTATTTGTGCCCATTAAAAAGAGTTGCTGTAGAGCTGCAGTTTGGTATTGTGCTGGATTAGAAAGGAAAAGTGGGTTTTCAAATCAGGCAGTGATACAAGTGTGTAATTTAACAGGAACCCTTGTGTTCCTCCTAAGGGTCTGGATTCATTTCAGCACTTTCTGTGTTGTGTTATCTGATAAAACGTAGCACCGCTATATTTAAAGATTTGGGCTATTTGCATTATTTTAAAACTCAACCATCAGAGCAGATCATGTCCTGAAATACCGTAAGTTGAACGCAGAATATGCATACATGCATCTTCATACATTTAGGGGAGGCTAAGCTTTGTTCAGAAACAGAACTGGTGGCCATGTGTATAGTAACCTAATAAGGTTGTTTCATCTTACCGTATGCCTTTTTGTAAAATGAAACAGAATCAAATACATTTTGTTTGGATTTGATTCCACGCCTGCCTGTGATCAACACTCCTACCACTTCCGAAGCCCTTCCAGCGTGATGCAGGTCAGTGAACGATGCAACAGCACCGGACAGTGGAATACATAGAAAATAAAACTCCAGAAAACCGTGAAGCGCGTGGCCTGCTGACGGCGCCCAGTACTTCCCTCCAGCGTGGCCAGTGACCATCTTGAGCTCTGCATGCCTCACATGGATGTGCACTGTGGTCCTATGCTGGGACTAAATCACCCCGGATCTCCCCAAACTGTCTGTTGCTTATTCCCTTCCTGGGATTTACACCCTGAGACCCATTTCTTAGTGACTTTCCAAGGTGCACAATCAGACCAGCATGTTAAAAGAAACTGAAAGATGACCTGTCCTAGTCCCAGTCCTGTACTTCTCCCAGTTTTCATCTTAGCCAGAGAAAGCAACAGCCTGCATGCAAGGGGGGAGGGGTTGCCAATCACGAGGTAAAGTCCTGCACAGATAGTTTGGAAGTAGGAAGGTTCTAAATGCAGCCATCAGATCCCAGAGTAACGATACTGTTTTCTGAGGCCAGGGATTCCAAGGGCATGAATACAACCGACACGGGTCTTTTAAGTTTTGATTTTATGCTTCCTGACTTTGGATGCTCCATGATGAGGACTGAAAACGGGAATGAAATTACTACCTTCTGCTTTCCAAGTCTGTGGGCAACTTTGTTCTGCACCTGTAGGGGTGGTAGGGAAACTCTCCACCTGCCCCACAGAGCATGAGCACCCACAGCAAGTGCCGATAGCGACCAGCAGGGACATGTCAACAGCATGCCGCTCACACAGGCAGATGGGCTGCCGCCTGAGCCAGTTTTCCCAACTGGCGATTAAATTCCATGCAACAACAGAAAATGACAGGGTGAAGTGAACACAGGCACAAACTCGGCTCCAAAACCCCGCAAGCCGAGGAGAGTACAAACACCACACTTGGCCGAGTTCAAAGATAACCATAAGAACAAAAGAAGGACAGCGCGAAGGGCATCGGGTTACACAGCTACAGAAGGCACAGGGCCACAGGCAGGCAGGACGAAGCAGGGATCTGCAAGGGACCAGCAGGAGAATGGCAGGTGGATCCATCCGGAACACACAGCAGCCTCCCACCTACACCCTGTGCGGGCAGAGAACACGCAGTGCTATCATCACCGTGGCTTCTTCTAGACACACCATCCATCTTTCATAACATAAATTCTATATTGGACTGACCTCCTGTGCAAATGCTATTTTAAAAGGCCTGTGAAACACAAGAAGAAAAAGGAGCTGGGTGATGAAATAAAGTGCCCAGGTTGCACTGCTCAGAAGGCATCTCATCCCCAGGCAACGCTTCTGCTAAGGAACCTAGAGATGGGCGGTTCCTCGCTTAGCATCTAAGTGAGGGCTGGGACGTGTGCTTTTTTGTTCTACACATCGGGCCACCGCGAGAGTCGCTGCGCTGCACCAGCTAAACAGCACCCATCTCCCGCTTTCTGTAGACTGCACGTGACTGGGGTCGTTTTCTAGCCTGCTGACTGTGGAGGAAGGTTTCCCACCTAAGGACGGTGGCCAGGAAGAGTTGGTCTGGCAGGTCCGCTCCTTAAGGACTCTCTGTTACTGCAGGCCTCCTCGGTCCCACTGTGGAGAGACTTAAACATTCCTTTACACGGGGATGGAAATGAGCTGATGGATGGAACATCTCAGGCATTTGGGCTGTCTGCAGTCTTACTGATGCCAAGGGTATTAGAAAGAGAAACGGCATCCAGTGAACACTTTACTGGGCTTATCTGTGTAGAAATGATCCCACAGTAGACTGGAAGTATGAATATTAGTTGCATGACTTAAAGCACTATGGAGCTTCAAATAGACATTTAAAAAAGAAATAATCACTGTGCTTTGTACTTGATTCCATGAATCTATTCTGTCTACCTCAGCGAATGAAGTCATATGTAGCTAGATGGAATGATCTACAACACCAACACCAGTAAGTCCACTGATACAACTTTGAAGCTAACTGCCAACACTAAAATCTGTTAGTTCCAAAAACAATTCTAAGAATACTTAGACATGGGTGATAGATACCGAAGGAGAACATTAAAGCTCTTGTGTTTCTAAAATCAGTCCGCAAACGAGAGCAACTATCTCTCCCAAAAGGCACATGTCAATGACTGTAATTTTCAATGATAACTTCAGGAAAAAAATAATTGATGAGGAAAGACAGGTAGGAAGACAGATAATCAGTTCACCAGCTAGCCACTTGTGAATTCTTCCAAACCAGAGCTTACGTAACTAACTCTATCTAACTACAAAGCATATTTACATGAGGCACCTTTCAGTCAAAGCTATAAACTCTTTTCTTGTAGTCAAAATAAACCTTATATTATACTAGCCTTTTAAATACTCAGTACCAGAAAACATTCAGTGCACATTTGAAGTGCCCTTGTTCAAAAGACACTTCATTTGCTACATCTTTTTATCGGTCACCTGCCTGCCTGTCTGTCCTTGCCTTAAGCTATGTTGGAGACATTGCTCCACTCATCCATGCCTTTGTCTAAGACTGTTTTATTGAGCTATCAGCAAACTCTGTCCTTTCCGGTCGTGATAAACTGTTTTCATGGTGTAATTTTCTAATTAAATGGATTTTCCAATATCTTCAAAGGGTTTCAGAAGAGTGAACCATTACAGAAGACAGAAACTGAGTATACCACTCACTGCCTTCCAGTCCGGCCCTTCAGTTTGGGCATTTAAGACAATTCTACACAGAGACGAAACGAACTGTCCCTGGACACTTGTGGAAGAATAAAATAAAGAGTATATTTCTGATGTCTTGTCTGATGACTCCATTCCTCACATAAAACAGTAAGGAAAGAGGAGGGGCAGGAGTATATTCCACAGTAGATCATATGATTGACCCTATCAATTTCAGATCTCAGTAGAGTGGCTTTCTTTCTGAGTGATAAAATTGCATTAGAACTGCTATTAATTTTTCATTTTAAAGAACATTTTTTTCAGTGGATCAAAATGTATAGGGCTCGAAGCCGGGCGTTGGTGGCGCACGCCTTTAATCCCAGCACTCAGGAGGCAGAGGCAGGTGGATCTCTGTGAGTTCGAGGCCAGGCTGGACCGACAGCCTCCAAAACAGAGAAACCCTGTCTCGTAAAACCAAAAAAAAAAAAAAAAAAAATGTATAGGGCTCAAAACCCCTGGCTCTTTCCCCTGCAGGCGAATGGTTGCCTTTGCAGTTACTGCATCTATGTAGCCTTAGACTTTATTGATCTTTAATGCCCTGTTGAGTCTTCTAGACACCATCTTGTTCAAAGTCATGTACAACGACCTGCTGGGACTTATATCCCCGTAATGATAAATGCATTGAAGTTGGGAAAACAGGTCATTCCTTTCACAGGTAAGAATGGCTGAAAGGATTTTTTGTTAAGGAGCCCAAACTTTAGGCCAGAAAGGGCTCAGGTACTGGCCAGATGGGAGCTGCCCACTCGGCGGTCTGTGTCTTTGGTGCATCTGACCAACCTCAGCAAGGAGGGGAGGGCATTTCATGGCCTCTGGGTACCGAGTGAGAACGGCTACTGTGGCAGGCACCATGTGTCTTAGCTGTGGACTAGACAGGCCGGCAGAGTCCCAGAGAGCCTGTCAGCTCCGGCGTGTCCTGATGCCGCACGGCTACCACACACGGAGAGTCCACCTTCAACAAGACGCAGAGGCCAGACGTTTGTCTGAGCATTTTGTCTCTTACTCAATAAAGCCTCCTCCACACTGTACACACGCTAAAGGGAAATCACGTGGGAATGCCAGTTACAGAGAGACACTCTTACAGCACTGACCACTGTATTTACAACATCATCCACTTACGCTCTGAAGACCGCAGAATGAAGGACAATGATAGAACTGTGACTGACTGTTTCTAGGCATTTGGCAAAATACACTTATATGTAACAGTTACTTTTTTACATTTAAAAAGGTTTACATATGTACAGTTGTCCTCGTACACTAATATAAATATGAAAAGTAAAAAAAATAAAAATACATGTTTAAAGTTAGCATATGGGTATTGGCCTCTCGAAGCTGTGCAGTCCTGCAACCTGCAGAACAATCCTATATGCCTCAGCCCTGCATGCTAGTTTCTATTATGGGATGTTGTTTCCTTGTATACGGAAAACAATACACAGAAGCTTCATGCATATGGCATTACTGTTTGCAATGAGGATATGTTTCAGAATGCCCAGTTCTGAATCCACTTCTCTCTCTCAGGAAAACCTGCTACATTTGGGTCATGTGAGTTAATTTTATTGATATTCTACATATGTCTGTCATGCGGATTATCCATTAACATACCAATACCAGACCATAAATGGTTCCGTGTTGTAGAACTCCAGTGGCTCTTTTTACTGTTTGGTTAAACTTTAAGCCAATGACAAAAAGAAAACGGCATCCAGGCGTGACCCATGACTTCCTCTCCTCTGGCATCTCAGAGCGCCTTCAAATCGTGTGAAGAACAGATAGATTCGCAGTGATTCTGGGTGGCTGAGTTTCTATAAAAGTTGAAGTAAACAGTTTCGATGTGACACATGTAAACAGTTGTTCTTAAATGGATGTTTCCCATAGCTGCAAACACAGGAAAGAAAAAAAAAATCACACACTGTGAAAGCAGACTTTCTGCACTAAGAGAAAGGATTTCTACCCATACATAAGTAGCTACCACACACGCTCTAGTCTAATAAATGGATGAAAGAAAATACACAAATGTTTAGCTCTCTCCTAACCCTGCTGTTAACATTTCTTCTTTGTGCGTGTGGTGGGCACGTGAATGTGAACGTGCGTGTGCCAGAGGAGGACAGACGAGGATTTTGGGAATCTCCCCCTGGTGCTCCCCATCTCACTGGCCAGTGAACTCCCAGAATTCCCCTATCTCCGGCCTCCAGTGCTGGCTCTACAGGCACGGGCCTTGAACTCAGGTCTGCATGCCACCGCAGCAACTTCTTTGCTCACTAAGCCATCTCCCAGATCCAGTATCAACAGTTCAAACAATTGTTACTTAAAATTTCAAATAAAGCCGGGCATTGGTGGCACACGCCTTTGATCCCAGCACTCGGGAGGCAGAGGCAGGCAGATCTCTGAGTCTGAGGCCAGTCTGGTCTACTTAGTGAGTTCCAGGACAGCCAAGGCTACACTGGGAAACCCTGTCTCAGAGAAGATATATATCCAAAACCAGTCACAGTGGCACATGCCTGTGATTCCAGCGTTCAGGATGCTGAGATGAGAATTCGGTTTGGGCTACACAACAAAATTCTGTCTCCAACAAAATTCTTACTACAGACGAAAAGTAAGCTCAGAGATAGCAGTAATGATCACGTATAAAGCATGTGGGAATCGCTGTGTACCCTGGCACTTTGTCGGTTCACCGTCTTCTCCTCATCAGGGAGTGGAGGCATCGGGTACGGGTATTTTCTGCTGGAGGCAATAGACCCAGTTGATGAAGAGGGAGACTTGGCAGGAGACAGGGTCCTGAGATGTCGAGAATATAAGGAATAAATATCATGTCATGCCTGGAATCACTTTTCAAATACCTACAAAGCAGATTCAGAGCAAGCCCCCTGACAGCCACTTTGACTAAGTGTCTATGGCAAAGCTTTAACTATCGGGGAGACAACTGTCGTTCTGAACCCGGAAAGCTGTGATTTTAGCTTCCTAAGTCCACAGCAGTGATGGAATGTCTAACTGGTACTACACAGAACCATCCTCTTAAACTACAGAGCTAATGATGAAATTTCATTCACAACAAGAACATAAACATGGAAAAGGGGGAAATCCTCTAAGAGCTCATAACAGCAAATTAAGTAAACAGCATATTAACATTCTAGTTTATTTTACTACCTAAAATGCTTCTCTAAGTTCAATAATCTCAAGTAAGATCTTAAAACATAACCACAGATATATTCATTGGTTGCTAAAGTCATACTCTACACACGACTCATGCATTCAGAGGCCTGTGTGTTAGTTGTGAAGAACAAAGGAAAATACATGGGTTTTAATAACAAATTAGTAAACATGCAAGCAGTAAGGAGTGCAGAGTTCCAGCCAAACAAAGTCTGATGAGGACATACAAAAAAACGGTCTACTTCATCCCTAAATCAGCATGATCTGGGAAGGCAGCAGTCTTACTCTGCTGTGGTTTGATGCACCTATTGCAACTGTAGTACTTGTGACTGTGCTGAGCATGCTGGGAAAGACTTGTTTGCACCTAGCTTATCTGTGAGAGTCCCAAAGGGAAACCACTGAACTGGTTATACCACTACATGCAACTCAAGGCTTCCTCTGCTGTGACTGGATCAGCCTGGCACTGCGGTCACCAAACACTGGGCAAGGCAAGGCTCCCATGGCTTTCAAAACAATTCTCATTCTTAAGATGCTGAGTTCAATCTAACATTTGGAAATACTTTTCCCTATATACTCTGAGGTCCAGGTAGACATTCTTGATTGACTTCAAGAATCAGGAGCGGTGCCATTCACTTTTAAACCCCAACTCCTAATGCTCCTTCTGCTTTTGAAAATTACTCAGGACGGTTCCTTACCAGGAACTGCTGGAAGGCAGTCAGGAAGCTACGAAGCTTCTCTTACACTGACACTCTCCATACTGGGAAGGTGGAAGTCACTATGAATAATAGTACTTCAATTTCTCTTCAGTTCTACTAGAGCAGCACACTGCTACGTGTGTGTGTGTGTGTGTATCTGCCTGTCTGTGTCTGTGAAGCTATGCATGTGCATACAAATACACGTGCACAGAGGCCAGCCTCTAGTGTTGTTCCTCAGGCACAATCTACCTTATCCTTTGAGGCTGTGTCTCACCGGCCTAGGGTTAAGTTAGGTTGCCTGGCCATTAAACCCCAGGGACTGGCCTGTCCCTGTCTGCCCAGTACTGAGATTACAAACACAGGGCACCACTCCTCGTTTTTTTTTAAATGGGGTTCTGGGGAAGGAACTCTTACAGCACAGAAAGTGTGCTACCAACAGAGCTCCTGATATGTGGATTTATAATTTAGTAAATTAAAATAAATAGGACCATGGTTATTACGAAACAGACTCAATATGTATCAAATGAGTTTAAAACTTGCTTGTAGATTCAGTTTTTTAGCCAAATCATTATGAGATTTATGGGAATCCAAGTTTAGGAAAGATAGTCAGATATGCAAACAAATCTTATTTGCTCTACGGTCATGGAAACCAAGTCCTCATTTTAGTTTACTGCAGCAGGTGTGTGTGTGTATGTGTGTGTGTGTGTGTGTGTTTGTGTGTGTGTATGTGTATGTGTGTGTGTTCATCACATGAGCTGTTAGTTTATAATGTCATAGCCACATCAGCCTTAATTTGGCCACGGGCTCCAATGACCAACACTGTACATTCTAAACCAATCCAGTGAGAGGCGGCAGAGCACCCAGCCTCGCTCTGAATATCTTTGCACGGGCACAAACAATAGTGACTTAAAACAAAACAAAACTGGATATGTTCTTCAGAACCCACAGAAATGGCTCCGCATGACTTCTCACAGTGGAACTTTAGGTAATTTAGAATTTGGATTCTGAAGGGAAGAAGAGAAACAAAGCAGGGCATTTTCAGCGGTGAAAGACGGGAAACAGATTCTGGTGGGTGGGTGGAAAACACCAGAGCAGAGATCACAGCGAAAGGAAAGGACAAGGTAAGCTAGCTTAGGGAAAATAAGCTGACAAGCTATCACATCTGCTGAAGGAAAGCCTTTAATTCTAACCTGGCTTTCACTTAACCAAGTGTCAGCTAAGCTCATTTGCTGAGAGAGCAAAGTGAATTTCTGGATAAATATTAGTCATTTACCCTCATGGCACTTAAAAAAGCATAACTACAGCGGGGGCACCATAGGATTATGTAGCGAAGGTGTGCATATCTGCCACCGGACTGTGGTGCACCTTGGGGCTGTATCCGACTTCTGGGGCTGCAAACCAAGGAGGGGGTACAGAGCCACTCCTTCCTTCCTTATGCTCATGCTAAGTTTATAATAATCTATTCCAGAAGGACTGAAGTGTCCTCAGTCAGTGCTAAGCCTCCAAACTGCGTCTACAGCCTTATAGCAGCCGCAGAGAAATGAGAGCGGCAACAGGCTTGGGAGTCAGTGAGCAGCTGAGCTCCAGCTCTGCTTCTGACATATGAGATGGGCTACTTTGGGTAACCCTTTGTATCCCAGTTTCCTCCATCCACAGAAAGGAGCCAAGAATGCCTACCTCTTGGGATGCGAGAAACAGATGCATAGTAGGCATTTGACACCTTAGTTTCAATAATTCCCTTGCAGAGTCAATGTGGTTTCCACAGATCATGGAAATGGACTTAGAAATAATGCTGATGAAGCAAGGGATCCATTGGGTAGCACTCGTGAGCATGGGCGCCTCCTGGGAACTTGAAAGGCAATGCTCCCAGGATCTGGGGTGGTGATCCAGTGTTTTTTCTCTGATTTCACCTGCACTTTTCCAGTGGCCTGAATACATCGGGAGCACAGTTAGGGCAAGCACTGTCATACGAGAGCATGGCTGAGGAACACCTATAGGTTTTACTGTCTGCCCTTGCAGTTCAGGGCGTTTTCATGGGCAAACCAGTTTGCTGCAATCACTTAAGTCTCCACTCCATGTTGGTAAGAACAAATCCAGCCCCACATGGGTGATTAAGAAGGTGACCCGTGTCCCGTCTGAGGGTGTTGTCAAGAGAGGTCAAGTACAGGGTCGGTGAAGCCCAGGCCTGGGTGTGGGCGCACTTAGGTCTATGTGAGGGTGAGTCGGGATGGAGTGTAGACAGAGTGTTCTGTTGTGTCACAAGCATGCTGCTCAGAACTGGGGCTTATCTTAATTACTCCCCACTGCTACTCACATGCAGAGTTGATCTCCAAGTCTTACCCAGCTCAACCCTTATTAGGCAAAAAGGACAGTGAAATAAATCACAGCTGTCCACGAACTTTGCCATTTCAATGAAAATGCAGGTCTTTCATAATGAAAAGCTAACATGAGTCTGTGCTATAGGTACCAGCATCTCTGCTTAGAAGATGAAATAAATGAACCCTCTCGAATTTCCCTCATAGCTTGGCTCGTGCAAGCAGGGGTGCTGAAGCATTTCCCCATCCAAATGGTGCTCAGTCATGCAGCTTCTGGGCAGACTGGGGACTGACTTAAAGCTTCTCAGCTCACCCAGGGGAGGTACACAGACTCTTCCGGGGTACTGTTTCATAAATTACTCCCGTATAAATGCTGTCGATTTAGAAATAAAAGGCCTAACCTACATAGAACCAAACTCATCCTGTTTTGGTTCTCTGGATGCTACAAACTGCAATCTGCCCCAAAGCCTGATAAAGAGAAAGAACAAAAGAAAGAAAGAAAAGGACCGCAGGTGAGCCAAGACTCCAAATAACATCAAAACCATCTTACCTGTCTTCTTGATGTTGGCCATCTTGGGAGCTACAGGTGAAGGTGGGATGTTTGAACGTGAGTGTGTGTGTACATGAGGTTCAGTGTGGGGAAGTGTTGGGCAAGCAGAGGGCAGGAAGGGAGAGGGCAATGGGCTATAAAACAGGGTATACTTTCGTGAGCAGGCAGGAACTATGCTTCCCTTGGGGTATATGCAAAAGGTATGGATCAAAGTAAAATGCAGGTAGGTCTAATCATTTTCTCAAACTATATGTAACTAAACTAAATGGCACACTGGAAGAGAAAGCCCACCTTATATGGGTGCTGAGAGTTAAATATGCATAGCCTATTTTCATATCCGTCCAGTGATGACCCCAGTTATGACGACAATAAGGAGCACGAAAACTCCAGCTGTGCTCCGAAGAGGCAGTGGCCAATCTCCATTTCCTCTTTGCATTTGTTTCTGCACAGTAGTTAGATATAAAGTGGACATCTACCTCTAGGTAATCATTTACATTATAAAGAGGCCCAGGGAATGTTCTCTGATGTGTCATATAAGCTTCAGGGAAATGGGTAGCATTTCGACTGTAGGAGGCGCTCATTGTCAATCGAGTGTGTTCTATCTGCTTCCTGCTTTTGAGACACGAAAGCCCTGGACTACTTGGTTGAGAATCTCTAGGCTAATCGTCTCAGCACAGCCCCAATGCTAGCAAATAGCTTGATGGGACAAAGAAAGCCAAGCTCACCACATGCTACCGTATAAGCAATAATATCTCAGCTGTTTTCCAGTTCTGTCAAATCATTGTTTCTGCTTGAAATACAATTCCAGTTCAGTCTCTTTGTATGTTTTTCTTTGAGTTTTTCTATGCACTATGCACTCTTAGGAAAAATATGTTATGGAACTTGTAGATTACGGAAACTAAATCGTTGAGGTTAATAGTGCATCTTTATTAGTGGAAGGTATGTCTCATGCCCACAGAACACTACATAGCATAAAATGAAGAGAAAGCTACTAAAAAGCTCAAAAAGGTGATAGGGACATGCATTACATGGCAACCCTTTCAAATGGCTTCATTTGAAACATTCAGAAAGGAACTCGACTTGCTCAGGAAGCCAAATACACCAAAAGGCAGCAAATGAACGAGGCCCCTTTCCACCTACAGGAACTTGTATTAGGAGATACAAGAGAGAGAGCCAGTCACACTAAATACATGTATGTGCTGGGAGAGTGTGAAAGGAAGACAAAATTAACTTATAAAATACCTAAAGTATGGTCCTTCAGTGTTCCTATTCACATCTTCTACCCACTTAGCTACATTATAGTCTCTTTTGAACCATGGGTTTAAATACCTGCAGAGAGCAATGGAAGGAACAAAGAAAGCAGAACAAGATAGAAAAATCTCAAAATACACAGCACAAGCTTAGCCGCGATGTTTTCACCCTCCAAAGGCAAGTGACTATGGCAAATAAACTGGGATGGAGATTGGGCGACTGTGAGGCAGTCTACACAATAATGGCATGAAAGTAATCTCAGCTACGAGGCACAAGGCATTCTATAACGTACTACATTTCTAGGAAAGCCTCTTCCAGTGGCTTCCCCTCCCCCGTCAGCCAGAAACTCTTTTTATCAGAAGTCTCATTAACCCACCTCAAAAGCACCTTTTTTTTTTTTTACCCCAAGCCACGTCTCAATTGGCTCCTTGGTTTTCAAATAATATTGGTGCTTTTTGAAAATGTCCAGGATGGCTGCAATTCCAATCTTGTATTTAGGCGCATACAACCTCAAGACAATTTTAAAGGCGCCAAGCTCTCGCTTTCTACACAACCACTGTTTTACTCTCTGTGGCAGAGTCTAAGAAGGGATGCTCTCTAGCTGGCTTCTGTAAGGAGCAGAATCCTGGAGTCCCCAAACACATTCACTACAGCTCATGTAGGCCTCCAGGATCTTGAGGCTAGGTTCAGTGATTTAATCATTTAATGGAAGCCCCACAGCTCCATCCTCCTCTATGCACTCCAGACTAAAGTGCTCGTGATTGCTTTGGGAAACAGCCCTCAGAAGTTGCTTTCCGAAAGAACAGCTGCCAGAGAATAACGCTAGCCTCTCCCTGATGGAACTGGTCGCAGCACCACCAGGATGACCCTGTAAATCTCAAAGGTAGCAAAACGAGGTTATAGTTGTTGCTTTCCACGGAGTTTCTTTGATTTGTATTTTGGAGCTAAGCAAAAACACACCTCCTTAAGATCTGCTCTTATAAACGAACGTTAATTTAACAGTCTCAGCATTGGAGGAATCTGGAGGTTTAACTGGGCTTCCTCCACTAAAAAGTATCTCCCTGGTACTGTAGTCAATAAAGATCTGGGTTCTTTAAGATTTACTTGGAAACAAATCTGGTGAAATTGTATAGCATATGAATTTTTAAGTTAAGATTTGTTTCTTTCCTCCATATTTAGTGTTTGAGTTATATATAAATATATTTAAATCAAAACTACCATAGTTTCAGTTATATTTAAAATCAGATTATTTCTCCACAGCTCTTTCCCTCATTTTGAGCCACTAAGAAGGCAAAAACTATGATTCCACCCTGAAAGAAGGTTCAGTTGATTTGTATGCTTCTAAGACCATTTTTCGCTAAGCCACCTCTCCCGATTCGGGAAGAACTCACATTAGTTTTGCCTTTAGCCACAGCCATTGGCAACTTGCACTATTCACAGAGATAGCCAATTAAAATCTGCGTGAACATTTCCACTGGGCCTTGGAACAGAAAGAAAAAGTACAAAAGCAAGTGCAGCCGCTGATGAAGTGAATGGTCTCAGGATAGCCATAGGGAAAGCCCATGCAGCCATTGTCAGGTCAAACAGTGCCACACAGCAAACTCAGTGTCCCACAGGCAGGAAGCCACTCCCTGGGGGAGACCTTTGTTCCTTTCACTGACAATCCCCGAAAGTCAAAGGACAGGTACTATGGCTGACCCACAAAAGTTCCAAACACACAGCTTGACTTGGACATGATGAACCTTGGCCACATCTGTCCTGGAGAGCTCTGGGGACCTGGCATGGTGGCTAGAACGATGCGTCTTTGTCAGACTACAGCAAACCTGTGCCTATGTGGCTTGACTTAGCGTGACTTGTTATAGTGCAACATGCAAAAAATAATAAATTAAAAATGCATTGGGCAGGATAGGAGAGCCTCTTTGTGTTCTCCAGGATGGAAAGCCAGAGAGGTACACCAGCGGGTTCTGACGAGTCAGGAGCACCACTGAGCAGATGGGGGCTCAGTCAAAGATCAAAGGACCCTGCTCTCAGCCAAGGAAGGGACTTTGAGGGAGCTTAAGTGGCAGCCCAGAATGAATGGGCAAGTGGAGACTGACCTGTGATCCAGACTCCCTGTCTGGGGGCTGTCAGAGCCCCCTGGGCTTATGCCTTGGGATAGGATTGTCTGGGCGAGGGAGTGCCCAGGCTCAGGAGCTTGGGGCTCCCTCCTGTAAAAACACAATATATAATACAAAGTCTAAGCCAAAAAAAAGTTTTATAGCGTGAACAACAACAAGGAAGACGAAACCTCTTTTGAGTGGGAAAACAACATAACCAACAAGGACAGTTAGTGTTTTGTTTTGTTTTTTAGTTTACAGAGCATGCATTGCGTGTTTTAATCCAGGCCCAAGTGTTTCATCATCCTTTTGGATGACGTGGTACTAAAGGGAATGATACAATTCATTAACATGAACCCTGAAATAGTTCTTAATATGAAAAAAAAAAAGGATATCTTTCCTGTGGCCATTCTGCTCCTAGTACAGTCACGCAAATGGTAGTATTATATCATGACCAAATGGTATGACTTATGTAGAGAAAGTATAAAAAGTTGCTAACATAACTTTTGATATGCTGTGTACCACAAATTCATATTTTTCAGAAGTATATAAATGTGTATATTTGTATGTATAGACAGTTCCCTTATAAGAAAGTTTCTGAGCATGCATGGTCAGCTTCACAAACTTGGTTTCAATTAACATGAGTCATGTTAGCCAAATTCAGAAAATTCTGAAAAATGTGAGGGAACCTTTCTTTTTTACTGAGAAACCTCTGTTATGCTGTCACATTAAATATTAGAACTTAATTATATCACAGGCAATAGTTCTTAAAGGTTATCCATAATAAATTTTTATCATGTTATACAAGTGGAATTTTATACATTTTTAAAAAATGATTACCCTAGAAAATATATGAATATTGGTGAATATCAAATGTTCTCTGGGTCTTGACCCCATTGCTTTAATATACTGCTGAACTGGTTTTTCTCCTTAGGAGCTGTCAAAGTCTGGACATAGAAATAGTTATAGCACTAACCAGCCCACAAAGGAAGTTTCAAAGAACATTTCACGATTGTAGCCGTAACCTTATGAGCAACCAGGATAAGCTGAGGAGCCCTCTTACCAGGTGGCCTCATGCAAAACAAACCAAATAACATTCCAGGGAGAGTTTATCTGCAGTGAGCCCTAGAGCACCCAAGCACTTGGGATGCAGAAGATAAACTCTAGTAGATTAGTTATTCATGATGGAGGTCTATGATGCCATTCTGGACCATGCAATGGTATCACTTGAAATTGCTATTATTTCTAAGGTAAAAGTATCCTCTAACAAATGTTGATAAGTCACTTACAAGACAATACCATTCAGGAGGGAGGTCCAAATTTCAGGGCAATGTTATTATTCCTAGACTGAAAAAGGCAGGGTATATGATGGAGAAGCTAAGGTAAGTTTCTAACAAGCAGTTAGCAAACGCCTGCTACTCAGACTTTTGTAAGTAATACAGAGACCCTGAGAACTACCATCCTAGGGTGAGACATGAGCAGGAAGCTTCAGGAACCTTGGCAACAGCAAGGGTAACTCTAATTCCTCCCGGGGGCAAGGTCAGCTGGAAAGAACACTGAGGGTGTGCTTTATCCTATGAAGGGGTAAAGGCTTGTAGAGACAATGCTCTGCTTGTACTTTCTTAAGTGAAGAAAGAAACACCACCCAAAACAATGCATGATGCTTACTTCATTATAAACGACTTTAAATTTAACTTTCAACCCCACTGAAACATGTGGCTGCTGTTTAAAACAGCTGAGGTTGCATTAGTGACTGATTCGGACAGAGAGCAAGTCTAGGTAAATGGCCTCTTAAACGTCCTCAGGAGGGAAACTTAAAAGAAAAGCTCTTTCCATAAGTCTGAGAGAATGCTTAGATAGCAGCCATGGAGACCTCAGAGCAATGACTTCAGACTGAGTACTGGCTGGCTCTAACACTGCCAGGATTATCTTAGTGCTTCCAGGGGAGAGGAAGGGTGACCCCTTGAAATGGTTGGACCCCCCAGTGATGAGAAGAAAAGAAAGCTATCACAAGTCCCTTCAAAAGAAACCAAAACACCAGAATGGCAGGTGACTGGAGGAAAAAGCCCGAGGCAAGGGTGAGACCCCCACTATCAGTGAATATTGGTATGGGCACAGTTGCGGAGATGCCTATGTAAAAGAGAAAAGCCAAGGTTAATTCTTATAGGGCAAAGAGAATTTAAAGAAAACAAAAATCAAGTCCAGAGGCACGGTAGGTAGTTCTCTGACTATCCGCTTAATAAACAGTCGTCACTAATCGCATGGGAGCTTCAAATGCCTTTCCCATTAAATGTACAACTTACTCAGTTGAATTAGATCGAGGTCTAAATCTTTTGCCTCTGATTTTCTTTTTGTTGCCTCCAAGGTTACCTGAAAAAGAACATTTACAGCTGAGTTTTCATATAGGTTAAGTAATGGTTTTATGTATAATTACATGGTATTTGCAATGGATGTAATTTGTAACTGGCATTGCCTCCAAATGTGGGCCTCTGGGGCGTTACATGATCTTCCAATGTTTCCTCCCTGCTTAGCTGCTAAAGCCACCATTTCCCATCAAGGAAACATCAAAGAACAACAAAAACAAGCAGCTGGTTTCTCATTCTAACCCTGTTTGTTGGGAGAAGAGTGGGGAGGCTTACGGGAAGGAAAACATCTTTGCAGGGACTCAGAACACAGGTCTTGGGTTTTGAACCCTGTCTACTACCTTGCCAGGAGTTACTTCGCGGTCTCCCATTTTCACAGATGTCTGAAATATGTTTTGTGTCTGGAATTCTTTCACTCCAGGAATGAGAGAGTCCATTTGACCTGAAAATAGAAGTATTTACATATTGTTCAAAAAATATAATTGGATAAATGTTTTGGAATCACTAAGCAAAATTTGTAAGCATTACTGCACATTAAATAAAACAAATCAATAAAAAAATCTGAAATGAAAGAATGAGGAAAACATGAAAGTCTTCATGAAGAAGGCAGAATTACACAACATTCAATTTAAGAAAAGTCAAATACAATGGAACCCCATTACAATAGTCATAAACGGAAAAGTAGCAGGATATAATGCAAGCCAATTTACATTCCCCAGAGCACAGCAACCACATAGCAAATTCAGCAAGTATTACAGTCACATAACCCCAGCAGCAGGGCTATAATGGGGTCCCACCATAGATGTTTCTTAATTGTAAAGCAATGACTTCCATTTAAATATTATGAGAACATGGACTTTTAAGAGATTACATAAAATTTGCCCAACTGCACCTGGTTAACTTTATGAAAGTAATACACACATTTATATTAATAAAATTATTATCTGGGAGTTGGCATTTTTCTACACAAACATGCCCTCCATGGATATAATGCATGTCAATTAACTGTCCAGTGACTGAACTGAATCAGATCTTTATCATGGAGATATCTCTCACAAAGCCCATGTACCATTGAGCCCTGCTGCTACTGTATCCTACTATTACTAAATGAATTTGCTATAAGGATCAAGATGAAAACACCTACCTTATATCATAAAATGAATTCTTTTATGAAATTTCACAATGAAAAAAATGTAACAAGCCTAGTCTGGAGCCTAATAATTTGATATGCTTTTGACTGATCAGAGCCTATGTATTGTACTATTTTCCAAGATCTGGGAATTGGCCCTGTGCATTTCAAAGCTCCTTATAAGTAGCTGTAGAAACAGCGCTATACCCAAGCCACTCTCCTCTGAATCACTCTGATTAATTACGAATAATATTGATTCAGAAGGACTCTTCTAGCTAAAAGCAAACAGAACTTGGCAGAAATCATACACACTGCTTTTCTATGTTGGAACTTTTTCAACATCATTCTCTGATGACGGAGCCATTTGTATTTTGTATAAAAGGCCAATGAATGCTCCTGGCATCCACCAATTTCTCCACTTTTTACTGTAATCTAATTTAAAATTCTATATTTGACCAAGCAAACATTCATATCAAAGAATGCTAGTAGGTCCTCAGGCATCCTCCCTTAGCCAATGAGTCCTCAATAATAAACGAGAAGAGTAATTTTATACTCTATGAAGTATATGCTGTAGCATGTACTCCCACACTCAATAGTAAATGAGAAGAGTAATTTTATACTCTATACAGTGTATGCTACAGCATGTACTCCCAGGATCAATAATAAATGAGAAGAGTAATTTTATACTCTATACAGTGTATGCTACAGCATGTACTCCCAGGATCAATAATAAATGAGAAGAGTAATTTTATACTCTATACAGTGTATGCTACAGCATGTACTCCCAGGATCAAAACTAGCATGACTTTTGCTTTGAGTTCAGTTATCTAAGGAAACATGCTTAAGACAGTTCCCAGTGACTTCTGGATTCACATTCAGTGCCTATAAGGATTGGGTACCTGCAGATTACAGATAGATCATCCACTCGACCTGGACTACCACAAGAGACCATGTTCCCTCGCAATAAACTAGCTCTTTCAGTCTACAAGTAACAAGAGTGCCCAGAGTTATGAGTGGATCAGCTGAAACTTTTCCCCATCCTTTACACCTCAGTGGAAACTTGAAAGATTTTTTGACAAGAATACTTTAGTTCCCTTTAAGGTAGGCCCCACCCTGTAAAACACCCTATTTAGTTCTTTGGGTCATTTATTGTCAACTGGTTATTAAGCAAACTGACTTTTAAAAGATGTCATACATCTTAAGATGCTAGAACAAGAATATATCATTAGAGTCTGAGACATAAATAATATTGTAGCCCTATACTTAATTTATCAACTAAGATGAAAGTTATAAAGTCTACAAATAATCATTCCTGAAAAACATCATAGTAAAATATATGATTCACAGAGATGCAATCTTTTTTTCACAGCAAGCTTAGCTTTGAAATATACAAAATTAAAAACCATTCAATGCAGCAATTATATTACTAATTTATCTTAATTGCCTTTATTGAAGCATGACAGTACCCTTTTTCTTTGACTACCAAGCATGACATAAAGCTCACCATGTAAAAATATTTTCAACTACTATGCTTTGTTTTTTAAGCCATGTATAACATGACAGGGAAAACCCTGGGGTTTCTACACAGATTTAAAGTTCTTGCATTTTGTTTCAATTTTGTAGCCTGATTTATATACAAAGTGGTTCTGAGCATATGGCATTTTGAAGTGGAGTAATCAAAGAACAAGGGATACTATTTTAACATTCAAGAAAGAAGGAAGAAGTAACCAAACCTGCTGCAAAATAATGAAATGTTCTGACTAATGGAATAATGTGTGATGGAACAGGTGGAAATCTGAAAATGCGACAGAAAAGCAGACCTCTTCTTAGAACTAGATGCTGAGTTTGTGCTGACTCCGGGAGGAATGTCGCTATAAAAAGAGTCGCCATCTCCAGGCTTTTTTACATAATCTCCCTGGGGTAACTGTCTAAGGCATAATAAACATTTCAGAGTCAGAAAACAAGACACACACATGAACACAGACATTACAAATATTATTTCAGGAAAAAGAGAGATAGGGATAATGGTCTACATGATCAAATCTATAGCATATGAGATTATTAATAAATGCGACAAGTTCAACTCATTCTAGCTGTAGAGGACAGAAATGTAATCATGAAGTCTTGGTAGGCTGGATGAATAAAGCCTTGTTTTCAGGAGAAATATGGAAAGATGAGTTATTTTCAATGCAGCATCACCCTACCTGGAGATGTTAACCGTGAATAAATTATTCATTATTTGAAATATATGGAGAATCCACCCTTGACTTAGTTTTAAAAAGATTTGATTGCTTTCAGTTATTCTACAACTGAATCCAAATAAAACCTTATTAGAATTTTGGGTTCACTTTGGAGTAGCATAATTTAAAGGAAATTTTAAAGATTCAAATTGGAATCAAAATGATAATTTTATAGCACACAGTAGAGTGTGTGAAGGAATGTAACTTAGCAAGAGGAAGAAAGGGTTGAAAAGGAGCCAAGCTTCTTGGGAGACCATGGAAAGTCCTCTGTGACGGACAGTGGTGACACTTCCTATCTCCACCACAGCAGGAAGGGAGGACAAGACAAAAGCATCTGTGTAACCCGTGCATGACTGAAGACACTTGTCTCATTCTCAATGAGCTAAGACAGCAACAGTCTCGCTAGTTCTCCTAAGGGAACCGGAAAAAATCCCTCAATACCCCCAGAATACTCTGCCCACAGCCAATGCAGTCATCTAATGTGTGGCTTCAAACAGCCAAATGCATCCAGATCATGACCAGCTTCAATCCTGCTATAGGCGGAGGTGTCAAAAGCTAGGGATGGACTAAGCATTTCACACGGGTGTATGTCAATAAGTCCCCAATAAGTTCCTTTCTACTTAGCTTTTGTTAATTACCTTGAACATTTGCAGATATTGTTTTAACACTCAGAAACCCTTTTCAGATATTCCCTTCATCATTTTGATTCCTATACTGTCGAAGTTGTTTAAAATGCTTAGTTGTTTCTGACTGAACATCATCTCCTAAATTATTTAGACACTCATATACTACAAATCAAAAAATGATTGCTCAGTGGATATAAATAAAGCATGTATTTTAATTTTACTTTGTGTGACTTCATCTAGATCTCTACCCACTAACAGAAAAATTTCTCACTAAACTAGTTTCTAAAATTAGCTCTACCCTTGACTGATAGAGGTTCCACCAAAAATAAAGGCATCAGTCCTGGAGTTAGAAAAGTTCCAGTTTAGAAGAGTTCTAGGCACTCCTCACTTTATCATCTGGGCCACACTGGATTCTTAACCTAACTTCAGAGTAAAAGTCTCCAGAACATAGATATTACTTCTTAGCAGTCTCCTCTAAAATCCCACAAAGAATAGAGCTAACTCTCCTGGCATGGCAAATGTCAGCAATAAATTATCAATTTCCTTACAGCATTCTTTGTTGATTTTTTAATAGGAAAGGGTTTATTTCACTCACACTTCCATATAGCAGTTCATCAAAAACAGTAAGGGCAGGAACTCAAGCAGAGCAGAACCTGGAGCTGGTGCAGAGGCCATGGAGGGGTGCTGCTTACTGGCTTGCTCCTCATGGCTTGCTTGGTCTGCTTTCTTATAGAATCCAGAACCACCAGGTCAGGATGGCCCCACTATAATGATCTGGGTGCACCATCCATCATTAACCAAGAAAGCGCCCTACAACTGGATCTTAGGGAGACATTTTTTGAGGTTCCTTCCTTTCAGATAATGTTACATTTCCTTACAGCCTTCTTTAGAGTCATACTTAACATCCCTCACTGTTTCAAAATTGATCCTTTTTCAGTATCTATTGCATTTGAACAGTCTACTACTACTTTAGCAAGGAGAGAATTTCAGGTTCCTTTGAGCAATAAAATAACACTCCATCACTTGCTATTAAAAATCATAGAAAGCCAACTAGATGAGCTCCTTAAAAGTTTTGATTGAACTTCTTTTCCCAATTATTTACTGCTTTTATGGCTTTTGTCTCATAATTTTAGTGTTTTTTAATGTTTTTTCCCAATTTGGATCCTGAATGTAATTATTTGGACTAACAAAGTGGTAGGTTTTCAAATGGGAAATTTCCTGTATTCTTACTACACCCTATACAAATATTTTAGATACACATATATTTGTATAAATGATTAACAAAAGAAAAATGCTTTGTGACTGAATTCTATTTTCCTCAGTAACCAACCTTTCCTATATTAGTTACAAGGTGTCTTTTTTTTCTCTATATACCTCTTGGTTGAGCTGAGGTACCTTATTAAATAGCATTATTTAGGGGATTTCTATTTGCTAATACAAGGATCAACACCTATCAATTAATGATTTGGGGCAGACTATGCAAATGTTAATTATTATTTTCCCACATCTACGACTTACAAGATTATCGACTGCTTCTATATTACGTTAGATAACAATGTGTTCATAATTATAAACCAGCTAGTATTGGCCCCCTACAAATTTAAACATCAAGAATGTTTTTTTCTTTTCTTTCTTTCTTTCATTTCTTTTTTTGAACTAACTCTATAAATGGTCTGATTATGAGAGATTTTTCACCTTCCTTAAAAGTATCTACTGAGCAACGATATTTGTCTCATCAATCCATATGCATACTCAAAAATCAGAAAACGGGGTGGGGGTGTCCAGATCATAACCTAAATGTAGAGGAGACATTTCTCAATTCCCTGGTTAGTGGCTGTCTCTTATAGGAATTGTTACTCTTGTTGTGAAAAAATTGTATAAGCTATACCAAGTCATGTTGACAGATGCATGAATATCCCTGAGATATGAAGAATGCAAAAATAAAAAAGAAGAGGAAGAAGCCAAAAAGGGGGGAGTCCACAAAAAGAAAATAAATGGATAAAACAGATGAGAGATAAAGAAAGGAGGTGAGGGAGAGATTCTGCTTCAGGTGAAACCCCAGAGCAGAAATATGGGGTCTAATGATCACACTCCTCAGTGGTCACAGCGACATGTGTTTATTTCAAACTAAGAGAAAGGATTTCAACCAAACGTGGATGGTTTATAAATTTGAGTTCCCTAAATATTCTTTATCCTGTTTGTATGTGCAAATCTGACTGAAAAACTAGAATTTACAGTTCTTGCTGTAAACCATACAGCCACCATGCTCTATGCAATTATTCCTCAAGAAACAGTAAAATTGGCTGGGGAAATGAATGAATGTCTTCTTTCATGGAGGTTTTCATGAAAAAGGCAAGTAGTCATCTTTGCAATGACTCAATACCTAAGGCTTCACTGTGATTCCATGGTTCTTAGCCTTCAAGAATGCCACTATAGGATGGAATGCCACTAGAGGATGTAAAGTACTATATTAATATGTTTGTGGGGGTATACTTCAATTAAGTCTTAGAATGGGGTTTCTATTTTCTTGCCGTTTTTTAGTAGGAAGTTTGTTATCTGGTTCATTTACAGAATTGCATGCCTATCTTCTCCAAAAGTCAGAATATTAGGTCCAATTTGTCATTTCCAGGCCATTTTTCTATGTTACCAGCAGCCTGGCAAATGCCCATATATTTAATATTTCTTGAAGAACTAAATGCCAAAGCAAAAGATCATGTTTATCAGCCAAAAGGAGTGTGTGGGCCTCAACTGCAGTCTTTTCTGTTGACCACATTGCTTTAAGGATACAGAGAACTCTGACAGAACCGCTAAGAGATGGTAGCAATTTTCTACATCACACAATAGCAGATTAACTACTAACTGCTTGCCAGTAGGGCTTCCCACCACAAGCCTGCAAAGGTAATCCCAATTTAAAGGTAAAGATAACATCAGAATTCTTAGCTTTAGTTCCTAGCATCTTTGGGACCGGGTGGCTCTTGAATGTCTGTGGATAGTTTTACAGGATTGAAAACTGTACTGATGCATGCTGTGTCTGTTGACCCACCCACTTCCCTTCTTCTCATTAATGCATGTCACCAAAGGAACCCTAAAGACACTTCCACACACAACGTCTCGGTCTACCATCCATCCTCTGTTGCTCTCTCCTTTGAGAACTGTTACACAGAACTAATATCCACCAGTCACGGACAAAGGGGTAAATTTTTGTTTAGATGTAACAAAATATCTAGAATAAATTCCTCTGAAGATGGAATGACTCCCCAGACATGGTCTGGACTTCAGAAGAGTCATCATATCCATGCAACAATGGCTGTAGCACCAGAAGGTGTTAAATTATATCAGACAGAAAAGTTAGTGATAGTGTGATAATAGTTCTTAACTATGCACGTGTTCAATCAGAATAATAAATTGATATATGTTTTCTGATATCAATCATTTCTTTGTGGTAGGCAGTTTCCGTGTTCTGGAGAGCATCTATAGAGTAGCTTCGAGCACGGGTTTATCCTAGTGCTTATGCACTTGTCATAGTTTTACTTAGTTCCAATAGAAATGGTTCTGAAATCTTAATGAAATTTTAATCTCATCAACTTAATTCTATTTTCTGCTGAAGAAATCCACAAATCTTAGATTTCCAATATGACTAGGAAACTTTTACCCACAGGAAACCTAAACAGGCCCTGCTTTCTTCACATGCTTCTATACTCATGAGTTCAAGACATGTCACAAAGAAATCCAGCTGTTTTTAAGTTTTAGCAAATTTTGTTTAAGTTTCACCTTTCTAATTATGGGTTTGCTATCCTAAGGGAAATATTTCTAATATCTAAAGTTAAGATGATTATAGATAATTGTTTCAATGTAAGTATGATCAGGATTTCAATTGATATCTTTGGGTACCATGTAGTCACAAAGATTCTATAGATATTTATAGCAAAAGTCTTACAGAGTTTAAATTATAAAATAAAGGAAATAGGAGAGTAATGATTAAAATTTTGATTTCTGAAAAACAATGAATCTTGTGGCCAGAGTCTATAAAGGTCTCACTATATTTATCATATCTATCCTTAAACCTCCACAGGCACTCAATGGGACAGAGTAAAAATTAAGCAGGAATCTGTGCAAATACTCTGAACCCAGAAGTGAATAGTATATGTGCAATACTTGGTCTAGGTTGACCAGTTTTCAAGATAACATTTTAGTTTTGGGTACCAACAGCAAGTATAATTAATAATTTAAAAAATGTGAGAAGTGAAATGTCTACCTCAATAAATACTATGTCAATTTGGGCAAAACTGGCGATTCCTACACAAAAAACATGAATGCTCTGTCTCTTTTCCACTGTTTGCTAAATGGAGATCTTAAGGTTATGTTAAGTAGGCGTTTGACTTTCTCTGTGAATTTTATGTAATATTAGCACAAGAGGCACAGCAGCTCAGAAAGGCTAACTATGCAAATTCCCTTGTTAGCTACCTTTATGATTACTGAATCATACAAAAAGTTCCATAAAGAACATTGCAGAACATCCCCTTAATAGGAACAAATGATAAATCTTATAACTTATTAATGTTATTACTACAGACAATTAGGTAATAAGACCATTATAAACATGAAGTAAAGCCAATAAACCAATGTAAACAAACATGGCAACTTAACATAAAGGAAGTTTGTTTTTGATGAAAAAATCTATTTCTATATACACATTGATATCAAAAGTAAATTTAATTATTATTTCGAGATCATAAAAGGTCAAGACCATTATTACGTAAGAGACAAAATCCCACTTGAAACTGCATGTGTGGATTCCAGCAGTGATACAAAGGGTTAAACATTTCAGCGATCTATTGAGACCACTGTCATCACATACCTCTGCTCTCGATAGTTTCTGTTCATAGACAGAAGAAAGGAAAAAAAAAAGCATTAGTTACCTAGAGAAGCACATGAACATAGCATCAAACAAAAAACCCCAGCATTTGTGCAACCTCCTTCCTGACAGGAATTTGAATTGTAAAATTAAAATGAGGGGCATGCCCAAAACTTCACTTTACCATAAGGAGAGATGACACCAAAGGGTTAGTGACAATACTGTCAAACAATTGCCCATTTCGATTGATTACTTACTTACTTTAAAGATTTACTTCCTTTTATGTATATTTGTGCTTTGCCTGCGTGTATGTCTATAATCTATGTGTGCCTGGTGCCCCTGGTGGACAGAAGATAATACCCCAGAAGTGGAGGTGCAGATGGTTGTGGCCCACTGTACATGTGCTTGAAATCAAACCTGGGTCTTCTGCCCATTTTTAAATGCATAAGTTAGTTTGTAATCATTAAAGAGTAAGTGTTTTCTCAATATCAGTTTTATTGTACCAAACATTTAATAGTTATCTACAGTCAATCCTACTGTTTTTGGAATTGTATTGATCTATTTTACTTTATGTGCTTGGGTGTCTTGCCTGTATGTATGTCAGCCAGAAGAGGGTGTCAGGTCCCCTGGGACTAAGAATTGGAAATGGGCCCTCTGGAAGAGCAGCTAAGCCATCTCTTAACCACTAAGCCATCTCTCCAGCCTTGTCAATTCTATTTTAAATATAGATTTACATAGATAGATACATAGGTAGGTAGGTAGGTAGAGGATAGATAGATAGATAGACAGACAGACAGACAGACAGATAGATAGATGGATGATAGGCAGATATGTGCATATATAGATTATAAATATAGAGAGACATGATAAGTAGATATAGATGAATAAATGCTGATTTAAATGGCAAAATCAATCAGATTATTTACATAAATTCACTACATTTTCATAGAAATAAGTCTTAATTTACTCCCACTGAAACACAAACATCCAGCTGTAGCAACTACAGCTCCTTCTAAGAAGTGCAAGGAGGAGAAAACACAAGCACACACTTTATTCATCATGTATGGTCAATAAAAATGCAATAAAATAAAGGTGGCCTCTCATAGATATTAATAACTTCTTTCTCAAGCTTCACACTGGATGTATTTGCTCACAGTTGCATTTCTGGTTTTGATTTGACTGTGAGCTAAAATAAATTTACACGACTTCCCTAATAATTGTTCAGAAGCATGTGGTAATGTACTAGCAGCAATTTTTTTTTCAAAAGTCACCAACTTTCTATCTTGACGTAGCTGAATATTAGCATTTTGAAGGCACATTAGAAAGGCGACTAAGCCCTCTGGGGGCCCATCCTTGACAATCAAGTATAATGCTTCCCCACGGGCACCCTCACCTACCAGTCCATTCCATTAACACTGTAAGGTAAACAGGCACACGGAGTGACAGTGACAATTTAGTACTCGGCTCCACTGCACTGGCTGTCAGCTCTGGGAAACGCAAGCCCGGCATCTTTCTATGAAGTATAGTTTACTTTTTCATGTCATTCTGGGACCTGAACCATATAGCTCCGAGTGAGTGTTCTCTGTTTGCTACCCTGCACTCCAAGGCTTGGAGAAAGGGTGGGATATTTTATTGGAAGAATTAACACGAAAATGGCTTCCGAGGTCCACAGTCTGTTTTCAACTCCAAATAAAATACTATCTATCTATCTATCTATCTATCTATCTATCTATCTATCTATATCTATCTATCTATCTATCACTCTATTTCTAAACCATTTCTATATTCTCACTCTATTTCTGGTATGGGGTGCATGCCTTTAAGTCGGGTACTTAGGAGGAAGAAGCAGGGAGGTCTCTGTGAGTTCAAGGTCACACAAGCCTACATAGTGAGTTTGAAGCCAGCCAAGGCTACAGGGTAAGATCCTGTTTTAAACAAACAAACAAACAAACCAGGAAAACAAAACAACCATATCCTGAATAATTTTGAAAACTCTAAAACTTGAATCTTAGGTTCAAGTGATGTCTAAGAAGGATATAAGAACAAAATCTGTTTTTTTGTCTTATTCAATCTGCAAAGTGTACAAATTTTGAAATGCTAAAAAGACAAAATGCAAACCTCCCTAAAGAAAACAGACACTTTTGACAGACAAAAGTAGTTTCACTAGCAATAGGTATGTTTTGGTCTCATGTATTGAGGACAGTAACTTTTCCCAGGATTATAAAAATTAAATATCCACCTGTATCACTAAGTAGTAGAGATTCACACATTGTCTTACAGTTTTCATTGGACCAAATAAAACCCCTGAGTACTAAAAACCAGCAATGCTTGCAATAAGATTATCTTCTTCTGTGTCCTCATCAGGAGAAAATAATGACTCCAAGAAAGAGCTCATTTGCCTGTGGCATGAAGGAAGGCCTTCCAGTCAGACAATTTTACAAGCGCCTAAATCACACTTTGAAATGCACTGAGCAGCTGCTCCAACTGACCGAGTGCTAGCTAATCAGGGCAAAGCCTGGTGTGATGCTATGCTACTTCTCCAGGCTATCCCATGCATACGTGAGCATCTTCTCCAGGCTATCCCAATACATGTGAGCATCTTCCCCAGGCTATCCCAATACATGTGAGCATCTTCTCCAGGCTATCCCATGTACATGTGAGCATCTTCCCCAGGCTATCCCAATACATGTGAGCATCTTCTCCAGGCTATCCCATGTACATGTGAGCATCTTCTCCAGGATATCCCATGCACATGTGAGCATCTTCTCCAGGCTATCCCATGCATACGTGAGCATCTTCTCCAGGCTATCCCATGTATATGTATGTGAGCATCTTCTCCAGGCTATCCCATGCATACGTGAGCATCTTCTCCAGGCTATCCCATGTATATGTATGTGAGCATCTTCTCCAGGCTATCCCATGCATACGTGAGCATCTTCTCCAGGCTATCCCAATACATGTGAGCATCTTCCCCAGGCTATCCCAATACATGTGAGCATCTTCTCCAGGCTATCCCAATACATGTGAGCATCTTCTCCAGGCTATCCCATGTACATGTGAGCATCTTCTCCAGGCTATCCCATGTACATGTGAGCATCTTCTCCAGGCTATCCCATGTACATGTGAGCATCTTCTCCAGGCTATCCCATGCACATGAGCCACACTTCCTCAGGATACTGTGTGCTTTGGTTTTTTTGTTTGTTTTGTTGTTGTTGGTTTTTTTTTTTTTTGGTTTTTTACAAGACAGGTTTTCTCTGTATTGTTTTGGAGGCTATTGGTCCAGCCCGGCCTCAAACTCACAGAGATCCACCTGCTTCTGCCACCCGAGTGCTGGGATTAAAGGCGTGCGCCACCACCGCCCGTTGTTTTATTTTGTTTTGTTTTGTTTTAATACAGCCATCCAGTGGTGACTTCCTGTATTTTAATGATGTCAGCATACAAACAGTTAAATAACTGTTCTCCCTTCTCAGTAAAATGATGGCAGGGTTTTAATTTTACAAACAATTGACACATACACATTTAAAGGTGTCTCCTTTGATTTGGTTTTAGACCACAGTAGATGACAATCATACTGCTTACTGTGAACACTCCTTGGTGTTGCCTCAGTACTGTCCCAAAGCAACGGGGACATGTTTTGGTGAGAACCTCTTAAAGCCACAACAACCCTTTCTTAGCTCCTCAGGTATTTGCACCAGCAATGAAAATCCAACTCGAGAATGAAAGGTTTATGCTACATTTAAGCCGTAACATTAAATAGTCACTAGAAGGGACCAGAAGTCTGGAGGTTGCCTGTAAGTATTCAACATGATGCCAGATGAGTGGGGGAGGGGGCAGAGCGCCCTCCTGGTCTTGGCCATTGTCTTAGTCTCTGTGTGTTCCCTTTGGTGTCTCCTCTGGTCTCTGTCCCCATCTTGTGTGCCATGTGTCCCTGAGGGTGTCACACCTGTCTGAGTCGGCTGTAAGGTGCTCAGTCTACCTCAAGGGGTCATCATGGCAAGCTCTGTCCACATGGAATCCTCCTTACATGCCACACACTCTGGAATGTATACCATGTCACCCCCATAACCTCCTGACCCCATCTTTCCCCATAATCACCACAGACTCCTAGTGCAAACTGGACGCTGCTTTAAATGTGAAAAAAAAGTTGTTCAGAAGCTATAAAATCTGAATGGAAGCTAAAGCTGAATTTATAAGCCTTGTTGCCTATGAGCCAAAAGTGCAAAAAGCCCTATATAATGAACTAACCTGCCACTCATATAAATATAAATGTATAAGTATATTAAAACCAGACTGTTCTACAAAAAAATAGTTACTAGAACACTGAAGAACAATTTATAAGTCTTCAAAAGGGAAATGTCTGAGGCTGGTAAATATCCAAAAACAGATGACTCAGTTTTTAAAAATGAAAACAAGAAATTATATAGTGAGCTTTGAAGCTTAAGAAGGAATCGGGCATCTAGATATTGCAGATGAAACTGAGTTAAAAAAAAACGCCACCTGAATCTCACAAGAATCTGTTCTTCATAGGAAGAAACTCATATATATTCATGCTATTAGGACAAAAGGTGATGTATGGATACAGTATGCATTCACTCACAATTAACATTGATCTTAAACCAACACTCAGTATTTTCAGAATAGGAAAAACAGTTGCTTCAAATTCTAAAATGTGATAAATTATCATTACTTCTAACTGTACCAAGGTTGGGTAATCTCTGATTGCTGGACCAGACTTTCATTACAAATACAGAGGTTAAGATACACAACCTTCCAGTTAACATTTAATTGTGTGTATGTGTGTTTGTGTGTGTGTATGTGTGGTGTGTGTGTGTGTGTGTGTGTATGTGTGTGTGCAGGTACCCAAGGAGGCTAGAAGACAGTGTCAGATCCCTGAACTGGAGGTCCATGGGTTTACGAGCCAGACTTTTATTACAAATACAGAGGTTAAGATATACAACCTTCCAGTTAACATTTAATTGTGTGTGTGTGTTTGTGTGTATGTGTGTGTTTGTATGTATGTGTGTGTGTTGTGTGTGTGTGTGTGTGTGTGTGTGTGTGTGTGCAGGTACCCAAGGAGGCTAGAAGAGAGTGTCAGATCCCTGAACTGGAGGTCCATGGGTTTACGAGCCATTCAGACTGGTACTGGGATCAAAACTGAGTCCTCTACAAAAGCCATTGGCATTTTAACCACCAAAACACCTCTCTAGCCCGTAATCAAAAGATTAAGTGATTTTTTACAGTAATAATACTGAAAATTTTAACTTACTTATAACCCCAGGCAGTTATTCCTAATATGAGGGCCAGCACTAAAATGGTGCCAGCAATTATTCCTATTATGATATTAGTGCCAGCAACACCTAGAAGGGAAAACAAGGAGGACAGTCAGTGACACGAGTGACCATCGCACTAACAATATCATCTGATCTGTACAAGGCTCTGGCTGTTTACACAAAGACTTAGCAGGTCTGCCCACCCTTCCTGCTCTTCCAGGGATTTAAACAGGGATCAGCAAACTTGTGTGGCTACTTCTAAGTAATGCCTTTTGAACAACTGGAGATCCAGGTACTACAAACACTCCCGTATTTACACTGACCTTGGGAACAAGTGCTTCATTTCCATTTATCATCGCTATCTGAGGACATCGAATTTTTAAACATCCTGGGGCTTTATTAGAATCGTGTTACTAAGATTTAAGCCTGTATAGATGATTTCGATGAGTACATTTGTTTGTTCTTAGCCTTGGGAGGTAAGTGCACATTGGGAGTTGAGTACTATTCCACACAAAAGGAGCCACAAGAATGAAATTACTTAATTGTTTACAGGAAATCTTGATCTCTGAAGGGTGAACTCTTTAACTGTCTACACTTAGTTTCCCCTTCTATGACTGAGCCAATCACGTTTTCAGAACTGCCCCTCCTGTCACATCTGATGCATGTTCTCAATCCTTATCACCTTGGCCAATTACAGTACTTCTATGCGTCTCAAAGTTTAGACTATAGAAATGAGATTCTATAACAAAAACTTAAAAATCAACTCATTCTTCTCATTTATTCAGCTCAAAAAATATAGTTATCCATTTAAATTGGAAACTTTATTTTTTATTACTTTATTTTACGTGGATGAGTGTTTTGCCTATAAGTATGTACAGTATGTGCATGCTCGGGGCGCAATGAGTTGAGAGGAGAGTGTGAGATCTCCTGGAGGCGGAGTTAATGGATAGCTCTAATCCATCGTGTAGGCCCTGGGGACAGAACCTGGGTCCTCTGCAAGAGCAAAAAGTGTTCTTAACCCCCGAGACACCATTTAAGTTTCTTAAGTTCAAAGAAATGTCAAAAAATAAAAACACAACAAAAAAAGGCAGGGGTTACTCGGAGTCAGAGGAGGACGAGGGAGTGTGGGAGGGATAAGCGTGACAGAATGTGCTACATACACGCATGAAATTGTCAAAGAATAAGTTAAAGAAAAGATGCTAGGCTTTGTTCATAGCCTCGGATAATCATAATACTTGAAAAAAAAATCTCTGAAGTAGGGCAGAATAAGGTGAAGTCAGAAGGCTAAATTATCGTCAGGTTGGCAAATCTTTACGATTTAATGAAAATGGCTGGTTTTACAAGGTAGACTCCCTCTTCATTACGTAAATAGCATTTATTTTGGAGCTATGATAAAGATCTCAAATATAAATGTATATAAACAAAATGCCTCTTCTGCTATAGATAAGTGTGACGTAATACCAAGCTGGGTACCTACCGTTGCCGGACAGGGTGATGCCAGCCTTTGCATCGTCATTATGAGGAAAGTGAATACTGCAGTCGGCACCTACCCAGTGCCTGTTGCACACACATTTGAGCTCATTGCTGCAAACCTAAAATCCAAAGGTGAGAGAGAGCCAGCAGAAACGTCAGTCCTCTGTTACAGAGAAACAAGCAAACCCTGACTCACAGCGACTACACACGGCCTTTGATGGTGTCCACAACGAATACTTCCATCCTGATTTTAGCTTTTTGCCGTATATACAGTTGAGTTACTACAATTGAAAAACATGCAGGGAACTGGCAAAATGACTCAGTGGGTAAAACACTGGCTATGTAAGGTTCATAAGCTTAGTTAACCCCAGGAATCCATGCATAGGAAAGGAGAGAACAGACTCCTCCACAATATTATCTGACCAGCACATATCTCATGGTATGTATTTGTACACACACACACACACACACATACACACACACACTCACCATAAACATATACAGTAAAACATTTTTGATTATGTAGAATAATACCTCTGCATAACATATGATTATTATAAATTATTTTATGCTGTATAAAATCTTACATTGTCTGACTCTTATTAATCTGTTTAACCATTACTATAGAAAACCATTTCTTATTTTAGCATGTATTTAAAATTCACTAGGAGAGGATGATAAAAAAAATGATTTCATTTCTCATTTCTTTGGTCCCACAAGAACTATTTCCCTAAACCCTCCTACTGATTACAAGAAGGAGAAAAACAACCCCTCTTACATCACAGGAGCAGTTGCATAACTGCATTGTTCTCTCTCTTATGTGTCCTAACATTTCCTGCTCTTTGGCGAATAGTGACAGCTGGTTGGTTCCTAAAGTGAAGAGACCTTTGCCTGTCAGCCCAAGCATGGTTCTCAAGGACATTTGATATCTATCAGATGGAATGATCAGGACTGAAAGCTTCAAATTATACAACAAGGTCCTTCACCTCAACTGGATAATACAAGCAATTCAAAGACTCTGTGATGCTGGCAAAAAGAGGAAAAAAACCAAACCACCTACAAGTAAGGAATTCCTAATGAAAATGAGAAAGCTGGATAAATGGGGGAGGAGTGAATGGGAGGGAGGAGTGGGTTGCGTGAGGGGCTGGGCGGAGAGGAGGGAGGAGACACTGCAGCCAAGATGTTAAAAACAAACAACAAAAAAAGAATTAACAGTAGTAATTTAAAAAAATCATTTAAAAATTCCAATATAGATGGCTAAAATCTCCTAAATCACGCCCAGAAAACTTGTCATTACACTATGTGCCATTATTCTTAGCATAAGAAAGGAAGGCTGACAAATTTGATTAGGAAAATTACCAGTTTTCTTATTCTCAGACTTTCTCAATTATACACAAAAACATTCAAGCAGCTTTGATCAGGTTCGTGTTCACACGCCAACCAGAAACACGGTTAATCACAGTGCCCACGATTAAGGAGGTATTACAGGATCATATCTACTTCTGAAACACAGAGAAATGGATGGTTTGGGCACTTACTCTGTTCCCTGAACAAACAGTGCCCACGATTAAGGAGGTCATATCTACTTCTGAAACACAGAGAAATGGATGGTTTGGGCACTTACTCCGTTCCCTGAACAAACAGTGCCTGCTTTACTGCTCAGGCAAGTGCTGAAGTTGAAGGAAGCCACAGACAGACACCTGTGTTCCAAACACATCATCTGAGGGCCACAGGGTGTCCCATCTTCCACGTAGCCAAGATCAACATCTTCTTCAAGCTTGACATGCCCACCACTAAAATTACATGGGAAGCAATAAGGAAAACAGGATTCCATTAATTCACATTCATCTTGAGTATAAGACTAAAAGCAGGAACTATTCCTTCTCTGGTCTTCTATTTGTAATTTCATGGAAGCCAGTAGCCAAAGGGTGTTTAGTTTCTTGTTCGTTTGTTTCATGGAGATAGGATTTTCATGTAGCCCAGGCTGGCATCAAGCTCTTAATGTAATCAAAACTAGCCTCAGCTTTTACTTTTCTGGCTTCCGTCTTCCATTTACCAGGGTTACAGGTATACACCATAAACCCAGAAATATCTTGTAAGTGTAGGAAGTAATAGAAGCTTTTGATCTCTCTTCAGAGATATTATCTCTAAATTCAGACAAAATTTAATTAGATCTAAAAATTAATTAAATAAAACAATTAAATTTAGTTAAAATTTAACATAATTTTTTTGGTTTTTCAAGACAGGGTTTCTCTTCAGCTTTGGAGCCTGTCCTGAAACTCCCTCTATAGACCAGGCTGACTTCACTGCCTCTGCCTCCCAAGTGCTGGGATTAAAGTTGTGTGCCACCGTTGTCCGGCTTTTCTTCTTTTTTTGAACTTTAACATAATTTAAACAAAATTATTACAATAGGGGCCAGAACTGAGCTATCTTTATTAATTTTCCTTGCAAGTCTAATTGGTTTATTAAGTTTTCAAATGTGTTTAAAATAAGGATTGTGTATGTATAGAGAGCAGAAGACAATGGCTGTGTTTTTCAATTGCTCTCCACCCTCTTTTCTGAACAAGGGTGTCCTCACTGAATGTGGAACCCATGGATTCATTGGTTGGCCAGCAAGCCTCAAGGATGCTTCTTTCTGTACCTCACACCAGGGTTAGAAGTATACACTGATGTGTTCAAGTTGCTTACATGGCTGTCGTTGGTACTCGGGATCCGTCTCAGGTCCTCATGTTTAAATCATAAGACTTTACCAGCTGAGTCGTTTCCCTAGCATTAGATAAATTGGGTTCTTGCATGAAATAAAGCAATTATCCACAGCCACAGCCTTTCTAGGAGAGAACCACTTTCTACACCTTTGCTATTCTTATGCCTCAGAAAGTTTACGTTATACTAATTTTTTTAATCTTTCAACTGTAGGTATTATCAATTAATTTCCCCACCTACGATAAGAGAATTTATCTCCCTTTTTCCCTTCATAGTTCTAGGTGCAATTTCTCCTTTCCTTATCCTTTCATAATAAACATTATTTAATCAGTAACAAATACAGTACATTATTATAACTATGTAAATGCTATTTAGTTGAGCAACTGCCATGATTACTCTCCGACTTACTTTTCTGTCTTACCTTAGATTATTCCTTTCTTTGTTGGCTGTTAATCTGTCTACTTTCCTACGCATTTACCATCTTTAATACAAGATTAATTCAAGGTCTCTGGCTGTTAATCCCCACTGAAAATGAAGCTGAGCATCAGTCCATGTTCCTGCAGACAGCTCTCCTAGTCTCACCAGCTCCTTCCCGGGGACAGCTCTCCTAGAGTCCCACCAGCTCCTTCCTGGGGACAGCTCTCCTAGAGTCCCACCAGCTCCTTCCTGGGGACAGCTCTCCTAGAGTCCCACCAGCTCCTTCCTGTCCTGGTTTTACCCTGTCCCTGGCACAGAACTATAAATCCTGGATCCCTCTCGCCATCAGCCTCTGTGTGATGCTGTCTCTCAGTGGAAGACCCTGTTTCCTCTATTCCTGGCCTTTCTTTTCCTTTCTTTAATCTTCACTTTTGTGGGGGTACAATTGTTTTGTTAACTTTTTGAAGAGAGGTATAGGGGAACAAATATGGGGGAAATTTGCATGCTGAAATGTCATTTTCTAGTCTCAAAGTATAAGTGATTTTTTTTTAAAGACAGGATCTTCTATGTAGTTCAGGCTCATCTCAAACTCATCATCTCCTGCCTCAGTCTCTGAGTGCTGGGATTAGAGATGTGTTCTAGGAGCCCTGGCTTGGGTCTCATACAAAATTTTAACTTTTAAATAGTTTTCCAGTGTCTTCTGATTTCCTGGACTCCTGGTGACAAACCTTAAGCCACTCTAATTCCCAGTCTCTTCTGTGGAAACTTGATGACTCTGCCCCACAGTGCTCAGTTTCCATAGTGAAGTTTACATCTGTCTCTGGTGTCACATCTGTCTCTGGTGTCACATCTGTCTCTGGTGTCACATCTGTCTCTGGTATCACATCTGTCTCTGGTGTCACTGGTTGACAGCTTCCTCCTCACTATCTCTCTGTTCTTTATTTCGATTCCAATTGGTGAGTTTGTCCTCATTGTTCTCTTTCTTTCTTTTTAAAGTAAAATACCAAGTTTGCTTTCATTTTTTAAAATATTTGTAAATATATTAGTTAAGGCTCCCTAGGAAAGTAGGAGCAATGAAAGACAGACAGATGACAGACAGACTGATAGAACAGATAAACAGAATAGATCCAAAGGTAAACAGTTTCTTTTCTTGGTTGTTGCCCTACTTCTAGGGAGACAATTTTTAACAACTAAACTTCACTTCTGCTGTTGTATTTTAATGCAACAGAATCTTTTTCTTACATGATCTGTTTGACTGAAGTAGGACATTATATTTTCATCTCATGATAAAAAAGTCTCGGGGCTTTCTGTTCACTCTGGGTTTCCATGTTAGAGACTTTCTTTGTATGCATGTCATTAATGACCAGACAGATGACTGGAACTTCAGGGCATTCTCAGAGAGCAGTCCTCAAGGCTGACCCACTTCCACATGACCCTGATACCAACCCTTCTCTCTCTGTGGAGACAAAGCCTGAGTCTCCAACAGAAGGGTGGGCTAGTCCCATTGTGGCTGAGTCATGAAAGAAGTCTGGGAATCTGTGCCTTAAGCTCCTCTCTTTCCTTTTTCTTTCTCTTCCCAAACAGCTTTGTTCTCTACAAACCTTCCTTGAAACTCACCTAATCTCTCATTGAACAGCAGATTAGGCTGCCAATTTCTCAGTCTTCTGAGTTGTTACAAGACATCTCAGGTTGGGTTTCAGCATTTCCTCTTACTGACCTATGAATTCAACTTTCTCAAAAGGCTCCCCTAATTATGAGCCACACAGCCAGATGTGGACTGTTACGGCCGCTACCCCATTTTTGTTTTTTTCTGAAGATATATAACTTCCAAAGAAAATTTAATATTGTGAGACATCAGAAAAAAGCATAATGAGCAGCCATGTGATGAATGACTCTACCCAGAAGTCCCAATCTTTCTTAATAAGAAGGGAATGCAAGCCAAACCCTGGAGGATTTTACTGATCAAGTAAACATAATTCCAACAATGACATAACAGTCCACAGGCATCCTTCTCATCTATTTTCTGTTAGGATTTACTCAATCACCTTTATGAACCAGATTCAAGTTCAGACTATGAATTTGCACGTACACTGGAAACAGTGGCATTCCAAGCTGTGTTATTGAGAACTAAAGTGACCAGTTCAATCATTAAAAAGGTTAGTTACCTGCAGTTTAATGTTCTTCCCTGCTGTACAACTAATGTAGATGTGATTTCACCGTCGAGTTCTCCAAGCCTTGGAATATTCCCAATGTTGGTGCATAAAAGGTAACCACAGAGCACATCCCTGTGTTAAAAGAGTATCAATTACTGCCTTGATCTCTTCCCCAGACACAAAAGGAAACTTGTACTTTTGGAGTAATGTCTTCTGCCTTGTTAGTATTTATTATCCATCAGCTATGTTGGTTATATGTATGCTCAGCAAAATAAAACAAGCCCATGCCAGCTTTGTCTCCTGCTCTCAAAACTGACATCTCTAAAACTCCAACTGGTGATCCAAAATCTTAATAACTTCCTAGGTCGTCTTTTATTGCCTATCAGTTCAAATATTTGCTTAAGGAAAGTTTCCATCAGAAGGATTTTCATACAGTGCTGCTGAATACGACAAACTTCTTTAGTGTTAGGTAAGTGAATGAACTCTGCGTAATATAGTTGCTTCTGCAACCCGTCTCCCCAAACCAAGAGGAGATAACCTACACCTCACATAGACTGCTAGCCATATAGCCTCCACACCCTTCTAAAACACATCATGCGTGTTTAAAAATTAACAGATACGTTGCTGGGATTAAAATACTGCTTTATATATTCTTTGAACAAGCACATCTTAGTTATCAATAGTGATAACATATATTTAAATAAAAGTCTTATAAACTCTAAGCTGGATGGTGGCTGCACAACCCTTTAATCCCAGCACTACGGAGGCAGATACAGACAAATCTGTGAATTTGAGGCCAGCCTGGTCTACAGAACGAGTTCCAGGACAACCAGAGTTACAACAGAGAAACCCTGCCATGGAAAACAAAACAAAATAAAGTAAAAGACAACAACAAGAAACATGATTAACATAGTAGCCAAATCACACATGGAAATGTCTTACTTTATATAATGGATAGCAGAGAACAAAGGAGACCTATATTTACCATAAATATTTAAAAGGTATTAATTTTTTCTTTATAATTATATATAATGTATAAATTAAAATGTATAATATAAAAGGTATTAATTTGTTCTTTAAAATTATTTTAAACATAGAAATATATGCAAATATAAAATTATATTCCAAATATACTTATGTCTTATGAACAAAATTTAGAAGAAATATTCAAGTCCTTTTTAGTTTTATTCATGAAAACTAACGTTTGCAATTTAGAATCTATAGCAAAGTCAGGACATGATATTTATCCCCAAGGGAATTCCACTGCATGAGAAGACACAGCAGGTGCATAAGCATGTACAAAATGGGGAGCTGAGGACCAGGGCCACAAGAATAGCAGAAATACGGTGACTGTAAGAGGGCAACTGGGAGAGCCAATCAGGAACTCATTTACACAGAAAGCGTTTTTCCAAATGGGCCTTGAAAAATGGATGAATTTCTCACTGGTGTTGGTGTAGATGTAAACACTAATTCTTTTTTTTTTTTTTTTTTTTTGAGACAGTGTTTTTCTTTGACTTTGGAGGCTGTCATGGAACTAGCTCTGTAGACCAGGCTGGTCTCAAACTCACAGAGATCCGCCTGCCTCTGCCTCCGGAGTGCTGAGATTAAAGGTGTTTGCCACCACTGCTTGGCAGGACTAATTCTAAGTAATGAATAGTTCAAACAAACGCATTGGCACAGGGCAGGGTGCTGTACGTATTAAGAATAGTAAGATCTGATAGAATTTTGGGGAGCAATAGAGAAAAAAACACGGTGGTTTGGCACAAAGCATGGAAGAGTTGCCTGGTTTGGTCTTCTTGATCCTTGTTCCCCTATCCTTTTTGAGACAGGGTCTCACTCTGTAGCCTTGGTCTGGAACTCACTGCACAGACACAGACCTCACTCTGCTTTCCAAGTGCTGGGATTAAAAGTGTACACTACTGTTCCCAGCCTGGGATTCAATTACTTGTTAATTAAGACCCCAGACTTTCAGCAGAAAAATCAAGAGAGCATTCTGATGTCAGAATACTAGATTCCTTTTCTAATCCTAGCTACAGGATCTTGGGCACAGATAGTGATTTTGCCTTGGGTTCCTCATCTATAAAACGAGAGGGCTGTCCTGATGTTTAAGTGGCAGGCTCCTCAAAGTGAAATAAAGTGCCCAGCACACAGTGTGCATTCACTATGTGATAAGCATTACTGTGCTAATTGGCTATGTGGAGCTAACGAAGTCTGAGCAAAGAATCGACATATGCAAAAGGATTCAAGATTGTTCTGGTAACAGGACGCCTGAGAACGTCAGTTAAGGAAACGCAAGGGATTTTTGTTGTAGTTAAATTACGGGGCTTAGCTGTGCTAATGACAGTAGCAGTGGAAATGAAAGGGTTAATTCACAATAAACGGTGGGAGGCAAAGGGGGGAAAACAACCACGATTCATGATTGGACAATGTGCAGAAAGATGGAGTCGATTACTCTCATCTACCTGGGACAGTGAAACACTGAGACATTTAGCAAACCCAAGAGGTAGCTAAGAAGGATCAGAGCTAGCTAATTCACTCAACAGTGTCGGTGGTGATGCTGGCTTTATCCTTCCTCCATCTTCAGGATGCTGGTAGGTCCTGTCTAGGTGAGAAAGTGCAGCAACTGTAAGGATGACCTAGACCCTAGGAAAGAGGTCAGGTACATGTCTAGAACCGGGACCGTTTGTGATGATGGGGCGCTGGGGGAAGATGAGGAGAACAGACAAGATGGCGTGTTTTATTGGCACCCAAACAGGAGACTCCCGCTTGGAATTTACGCGTGTAAACGGAAGGAGGGATGAGCATCGGCAATCACCGTTTACTGCACTGTATCCACGTGTCTTTATCTTTTCCACAGTTCCCCTTCTCGGTCCCCTCGATGTTGAGCTTCTCATAGCAGTACTTGTCAGACGCTGTTACCTCTGCAGCAGAACAGAATTTCCCATCAGTGATGGAGCAAACTCGGGAGCTGCTCCCCGGAAGGAAAGCCGCAGTTTGAGGACTTGCTCGCTGCGGTGTTATCAACGACAAAGACAAAAGTTGCACCATCACTTACAAAAGGTGTATCACAGACATGGCTTGTTTCATCTTCCATGAAACCTTACTTAAAGCAGGAAAATAAGTCTATTTAGATCCTTGAGGGGAGTTAGACTACAGACTGTGAGAATGCCCCCCAGGATCTGACACTAATTAAGGGATGGTGCTATCCTTGAACACATATTGTAATCTCAGTGCCAAATACATGAGTCTCAATCAGAAACTGTATTACTAAGAAGGGCAATATTATTCAAATAGCTATGTAGTGCAATCAGATTCAAGAAGCAGCATAATTTCAGCTTACTTACAAATGCTTAGCTGCTATAAAAAAAAGAAAAACTTCAGTTTTGCTTTGAGATGAGATTGTGTTCATGCTAACTCTCTGAAAGGCAAAAACCATTTTATGGTTTTCCATTCATCTTTGCAGGTTTTGATCTTTTCTGAAGCCAGCGTTGGCTATCAGAGTCGCCTGCTAGAGCAAAATGATTTTCCAGCCAAGGGTGGGGATAAGCCTGTTATCTCGGCCATCCCGAGATGGAGGCAGGAGGATTAGTTCAAGATCATCCTCCTAAATTACACAGGAGATGCAAAACCAGCCTAGGCTACATGAGATCCAACCTGAAAGACAGAAACAAAAAATAACGAAGACTTTTGTAAACTAATCAAATGCCAGTTGGTGATACAAGTTAAGTGTTGTTAATCCAAAACCTGGAAAGCTTCATGTTCCAAGACCTTTTAAGAACTGACAATATACCACATGTAGAAAATTACATGACCTACACTGTGGAGATAGCACAGCAAAAAAAAAACAAAAAACAAAAAACAAAAAACAGAACACACTGTGCAAGTATGAGAACTTGGGTTCAAATCATGTACAAAGCATGTGCCTCTGACCTCTGACCTCTGAGTAGAGGCAGGAGGATGGCCAAGGCTTGCTAGCTGCCAGCTTAGCTGCTGGTCCTGTGAGAGCCTGTCTCAAGAGAATAAGATAGAGAGAGTAATGGAGTGAGACACTTGATGCCCTCCTCTGCCTTCTGTGGATGCACAGGCATGAACATATACATGTGCTTACCACACACACACACACACACACACACACACACACACACACACACACATACACATACACACACTCACAATAAATAATTAGAAAAAAAGAAAAGTCTATGTCCTGATCTAATATAAGAAGTCTCAGTAAAAATGCAGGTGCATTAAAATACTAAAGTATTGTATAAAATTATCCTCAGACTATGTATGTATACATAAAATACAAATGAACTCCATGATTAGACTTGGGTCACACACTCCCAAAGTATTCCCTGTCATAAAATTCCACAATCTTACACAGGTACCAGGCATTTCAGAGTCATGCGTATTAAACAGTAGCTAATTACATCACTGTTCCTCGCTTGTTTTGATCAATGAGAGGAAGCAAAACCAACAGCTTACAAACTGGTATGGCTACATGTTCTCCTCATTTCAGTGCTTCTCAAGTGACTCAGAGAGCACATGCTCCTTCCCTAAAGGATTGCAACCACTACCTCTGATATCTAAGGGTATGATTCATTTTACAGTTTCTCCTAGCACAAATTATCTTTCAAAACAACTTCGAATAATCTAGACATGATGTACATGCCTGTAATCCCAGCAGGAATTGAGAAGCCTAGGCAAGAAGCTTAAAAATTAAAGGTCTAACTGGCCAAGATACATAGCTAGGCTACACACTAACACTCTACCTGAAAAATATTTTCTGGCGAGTTAAGAACAAAAACATCTTCCAAAAATATTGCCTAGAAACTCTGGGGAAAATAGAAAATACAACATTTAAATTAAAATTTAGACTTAGTAAAATTTAAATGCTATTATTTAAATAGAACTGCTATACCTTATTCCTTAAAACTGAGACAGATTTTGAAGAGGGCAACATTAACATTTCTCTCTTTTACAGGACAGCTTCCTCAGCAGAAGGTCATCCATAACTACAAAAGCCCATGGGAGCTTAAAGAAGATAGTAGAGGAGGAAAAAGCAACTCTAGTTAAAATTTCTAGGTCTAAAGCAAGGATACCCTACCCAGAGACCATGTCCATCCCATACGGCTATACGAGGGCCATATGGGATCTTTTGCTCAAGGGCACTCAGCTAAGGAGCTGAAATCAAGTCTGCTCTATTCTCCAAGCTGTGCACCAGGTGGGTTCGCATGCCTGGTAGCAAAGGCACCTTCTGTCTCTTCCACAGGCACTGCCAACTAGCCAGGATTACGGGGCCGTGGCTTCTCAAGGAAAGTGTCTTCTCTAATTTCTAGAAAAGTGCACCTTCCCCGTCCAGAAGTGGTTTTAAGAAGTCTCTAGTTATTAAGTACTAACAATTTACTTCTAGCCCATATGTCCTTAAAGGAGTGTGCCAATACTGTGTGGGAAAACAATCAAGCTACATGACTTAACTTACTTTGTCCCCAGATGTATTTGCATTGTCTGTCTCTGGTTTTACACCTGCCTCCAAAGCAAATTCCCTAAAATGAGAAAATAAATTCCATCAGTGAAAACAATGTTTGCTGTGCTAGACAGCAAACAGAAAAGGGAACCAGCCCATGCGTGTGGTCATCTGAATTGATTATGAACTATTCAAACTTATCCTCTTACCGAGATACAACTTTGGCATTTCTATCATGCTGGCACCCGTGGAAGTTTTAGGTAGCAGTGAGTGGCCTACCTGAGTACCGTCACAGGAATATCCATCCATTTTATGCACATTGGGGGCACACTAGGAAGAAAGAACAAGCTGTCACCCAAACGCAGACCAAACGCCAGGCTGATGCAATCCCGTTAATGTTCTCATTTTATAAAATCACCACTCATAATACACCTAGGATTATAATGTACGAAGAGTAACATGCAAGAGAAAGATGCCATGAGACAGGGTTCAAGCAGAGGTATCTTTCTTTCTTTTTTGGGGGGGAGGGATCATAAAAAGGGGGAAAGGGGAGGAGGGAGACCAGCTTCCACAGACAGGAGCAGCAGGAGAGAGGAAAGAGGAGAGAGAGAGATTGGGACAGAGAGAGAGAGAAAGGGAGGGAGGGGGAGAGAGGAACAAAGAGAGAGAGAGGGAGGCAGAGAGAGAGAGAGAGAAGGAGGGAGAAAGGGAGGGAGGGGGAGAGGGAGGGAGGGAGGGAGAGAGGAGAGAGGGAGAGAAAGAGAGGGGAGACAGAGAGGGAGAGAGGGACAGAGAGAAAGAAAGGGAGGGAGGGGAGAGAGGAACAAAGAGAGAGAGAGGGAGGCAGAGAGAGAGAGAAGGAGGGAGAAAGGGAGGGAGGGGGAGAGAGGGAGGGAGGGAGGAAGGGAGAGAGGGAAAGAAGGGGAGAGAGAGAGAGAGAGAGAGAGAGAGAGAGAGAGAGAGAGAGAGAGAGAGAGAGAGAGAGAGAGAGAGAGAGAGAGAGACATGGGAGGTGGGCAGGGCCCTTTTAAAAGGGAACATAGTGAATATGCACAGGTGGTGCTCTTAGTGGCTGCAGTCGAGGGTGTATCCTGTCAGAACCCCCAAGGGCAGGCCCGTACAGATAGATGCCTGAATACTAACACCTAGTCCCTAAACTATCTATACATAAGAAGCAGAAGATTAAAAGAAGATATGAAGAAATAGATTTGTTGAGCATCACTTTAAATATATGACATCTACCCAAGGCAAAAACTGATTACACAGCCATAAAGGCAAAGAACTTTCTAGAATGGCTCGGTGGGTAGCACATGTATGAGCATATGCATCATTCAGACATACTATTCCTCAGAGAAGAAGACAGGGCTTAAGATAAAAGTGAGGAACAGGCCCACATCAGTGAAGCCAAAAGTAGAAAGAAAAAAATGGGGAGGGTATTGAAGGGAGGGGAAAAGATTTAAGCAGCCTCTGCTGTTGGCTTTTGAAAAGAATCTCATGCTTTATCATGCTTTTCCCTTGAAGCAACTTAAAAATTGTAGTCTGGCGAGGATACAACCAGCCATGTACAATTCATTACTGCGGTGAGAGAGGAACATGTAATTATATAGTCTCTTGGGGAAGAAGGCCGCTGTAAAGGGCAGAAAACAGATGTGACGGGGAAACCACCCAATGCTTTCCTAGACATTCGTCCCTACCCTTGTCTATAAAACCACCCAATGCAGCTATCTTTCCTAGACATTCGTCCCTCCCTTGTCTATAAAAACACCCAATGCAGCTATCTTTCCTAGACATTCGTCCTTACCCTTGTCTATAAAACCTGATGTTTAAAAGTGAAACTATGATACGGTATTTACTGTTCCTTTGTTTTTGTCACATAAATGTGCTCATATCACTGATGTATGGTTTTACAGATATCATTTATAATAGATGCAACACATTAAACGAAGGTATCACTGTATTAGAACAATTCCCTATAATCAATCCTATTTAACTAACCCAACAGAGGGCCTCTGCTAAGCCTGGAATTAAGATTGTTAGGCAATTCCTGCTTATTTATAATCACACTGGTGTAGTATGCTTCTGTCTGGGAGCCTTGGTGGTAATTATTATGTCCTTATTTCCAGGAGTCATTATCTTGAAAGACTGCTAATTACACAGTAAGAAAGGAGAATGCTCTTACATAAAGATCTCTCTGTATCCTTTAAAAATCTATCTTTTTATTACTACAGTTATATCACTACTTAATCTGTCTTCTCTGGAGTGGAGAATGATAGCAACCCTTGCTCTGCTATGTATGAATTTCAGTTTCGATGATTTTTTAAAATAAAACATAAACAATGCAAAACACAACCTTCTCTCCCAGTTGTGTGTCACTGGTCACTGGGGAAGTTGAAGATGACCATTATGATCAGTGACCTGCCTTGTCATTTCTTCTGGGGTTTATTTATTCAGTCACAACACAGAATGCAGATGGTTATGCCGTCTCTTTGATTCTTAGTGAGGGCATGTGAGATTTTGCAAGGATAATAATCAAAAAAGATACTAGCCAACAACGAGGCAAATGTAAGAGCTGGGCATGTATCTTGATGGTCTAACATTTTCCTGACATGCCCAGGCCTTGGTTCGATCCCCAACCCCCTCCCCACACACAGAGGCTGGTGTGACATGATAGAGACAGGTGACATCTTGCCCCGTTTTTCTTGTAACACACCAAGGATGACCCTACTTTCCCTGTAATTAACCTGTGGAGAGTAATTATTGTATAGGTTACCTGGCTTGAATTTCCTGAACATATTTCACGAATATCACAATCGTTGACTGCCTCTCGGCACACGGTCCCCAGAGGCTGAAACTGAAAAGAACATCACTCAATGTGCAAAACTGTGAAAAGATTTAAAAAAAAAAAACCCTCTCATAGTCCCATTAAAAAACTGTTTGGAAAAGAACACCTTAAACTATTTTAAGATGGCAGTCTCAACACACTGCTATTTTAATAATGGTAAGACCGTTTCTCGTAGGTGAAGTAACTCCCATAGTCACCACACATAAGTGTCACAATATCCTGTTGGAATGGGCAGAGCTTCAGGGAAGAGTTAGCCCACGCTCCAGGAGTTTTTGGCAAGCAGCCTGGATTCAGGCTTTATCCTTCTTTCTTTTTTTATTTTTATTTTTATTTTTTTTGTTTTTGAGACAGGGTTTCTCTGTATTCTTTTGGAGGCTGTCGGTCCAGCCTGGCCTCAAACTCACAGAGATCCGCCTGCCTCTGCCTCCCGAGTGCTGGGGTTAAAGGCGTGCGCCACCAACGCCCAGCTTATCCTTCTTTCTTATTTACACCTTTATTGTATAGCTTTTGCTTCTGCTTAAGTTACATTTTGGATCTCATCACAGTTACTTCCCAGAAAAGTGTTTTCCGAAGCTTTCCTTTCCACCCCCCTGATTCATCTCTACATAGGCCTTTCACTCTTTTCTGAGTTCCTGAGACCAGTGCCTCTGGTGGAGTGTTGTTGGGGGGCTTGTGTTGTGCTTCTTGGTTTCCAAATACCTCAAATACTTCTTACTCATGTGATGCTGTGGAACCAGTGCTAAGCTTCACTGGATTTATAGATGCAACTTAACTCCTTACAGCAAAGCAGAACAGGGCCGTGTAAAGCTATCAGAAGCTCCACCCTTCTCCTTCTTCCTCTCAAAATTGTTGATGTTGGTAACTAGATTCACCTGTGTTTGTGCTCCACGCATAGAGACATGGTCCCCGACTCCCTGCTCAGAGCCTTATGGGCACCTGAGCCAGGGGGGGGGGGGAGAGAATCTGTATCATGTGTGGTTTAACCTCCCCTTGAGGAAAGTGCTTTAGGGGATCCCACACAAAGCAGCCAGAGACACAATGGCAGTGGAAACAACAGGAACCACTTCTAGCAGGGCCAGGGGTCAGCAGGCAGCTGTGCTTTCCTCTGAGCCGGCCTATGTGGGTTTCTTAGCACCCTTAGATCAGAATAGCTCAACTGCCAACGTCAGGATGGCCATGCCAATTCCTAAAGTGTGTCAGTAAGTGTTATCTAAGACAGGGGTATCAGGCTGGGGTGACTTTGCCCCGCAGGAGACATTTTAACAACATCTGGAGACATTCTTGGTTATCGTAACTGGTGCATTTCTTTTAGAACTTAATGATTATGGATGCTGTTGACATCCTATAAAGCAAAAGGCAAACCCTGGCTACAGGCAGTATGTCTTATTTTTATCCCGACAAGGATGTTGGTGCCATCTGGGAAATCCAGACTTAAGATGACACAAGTCAAAAGAGCTTAGACCAAAGAGGACAGCTGCCATGACAGTTTTATATGTCACTTTCATTTATCCAATTAAAGCTATCTGATCAGCAAATAATCATTGGAAGTACCATGCATGTTCATTTAGTCACTCAACAAGCATGCACTGATAATCTATACCAATTACTCTACAGGTACCTCTCTCTGCTCCATAGGAACATAAAATAGAGATAAATAGGTTCTAAATCTCAGAAATAAGAGAGTATTATTATAAGGCAATGTAGGGGGAAAAGAAAAATTGGGGGGGAGTTAAGCCCTAAGTAACTTCTAATTTTGATCTCAAAGTTTGAATATTTGGCGGTAAATCTGAAGATGCTGTGGCAAGGATGAGATGACACAGGAGATAAAGAGCTCTTCTCATCTCCAAGTCCATACAATGTGATCTTGTCTAAAGCACTCCTCTTGATCTCTAAGTGCCTGATGCTGAGGGGTGGACCGAGAGGCACAGCAAGAAGAGAAGAAAATATTAAACATCTTCGACTCTAAGATTAGTTAACTCCTGTTTCTCTTTAAGGAGTCAGGATGAGGAGGGCAGCCTCTGAGAAGTAACAGGGCCCAGCTCTCTCGCGTCCTGGTTTAAGGAACTGGGTAAGTTACTATTAGATGAGAATGCTTCCGGAGGATGCTGTAACTGCTAGGACTTTAGTCATTTGCTCTGTGTTAGACAGTGTTAGTAGGTCGTCCATACATAGACCCGATGGCTTAAGCACATCTCCCTTCCAACCTATGGCCATTGTTGGCCAATGACTTACCTTGCACTTCTTACAACAGAGGCCATCACTGCACTGGGAGTCCTGAGTCAAGGTGCACTTCTTACAACACTCTGCTCCTTCAAGGGTGCATTCCTAGGGAATGTCAGCAGTTGCAGAACACTGGAAAACGTTTTCATTTTCCCCAAAATACCAAGACAGTTTTTAAAGTAAATGTTCAAACTCACAATGACAATCGTTCATCCACAAATCCTATGAACTTTCTACATATAATGCTCAGTATGATCTTACGGGCATGGAGCTAGAATGACCCCTGGCTACCTAAAACCTGCCTTCAAAAATGACAGGGGACTTACAGCAGTGGTGCCACAATCACACTCCTCTCCAGTTTCAATGAAGCCATTTCCACACTCAGGAGGATCGAGAAGCTGTGGGAAGAAAAGCAAGAAGGGACCGAAATACAGAAACATTAAAGACTCCGAGGACTGCCACCACAGCAACACACACTGTGTATATGCTATTCACCCTAACCGCATTTTTACTTACATTAAAGTAAAAAGCACAGCTTTATAACGTGGGGCTTCAGAGGATCATTTTTGATTTCTATTTTAATATTCAGACATAGTACTGTACATTTATATTATATAATATGTATGCCAAGTAGGGTCTTGTGAATGTCACCAAATAGACAACCCAGCCACTGAAGAAACCCGAAGCCAGTTTGACACCTGAAAATCCATTTTGGTGAGAAAGCAAGAAATTTGGAGTCAAGAAGTCTAGATTAAAGTCCTAGTACAGGGTAGGTTAGTGCTTAACAACACAACACGTTTGGTGGGGGGGAGGGAGGCTCTGGGTTCACTAGTCAGTAATAAAATACAACACAATGTGAGATGACACAAAATGATAAAGTAAAACACTGGCCCAAGCAACCCAATGGAGACTCCTACTGAAACACGAACAGTAATAAAAGCTGTCCATGTATATAGTAATTAATCGCCTGCCTAAAATTATCAGGGTGATCAAGTCTAATCACTTGTGAAAATCCCATTATTATTATTTTGCTATTTGCTACTACTCTGTTAAAAATTATCTTTGTAGATCTGGAGAGAGGGCTCAGTGGTTAAGAGCACTTGTTACTCTTGTAGAGAACCCAGGTCCATTTCCTAGCCCTCAAATGACAGCTCACAATTATCTGTAACTGTAGTTCTGGCAATCTGGATACATACATACATACATACATACATACATACATACATACATATATATATATGCAAACATTCATAAAAATAAAATTAAAAAATAAATCTATAAAAGGAACATTTTTAATCCATAGTAAGGAGGGGAGGGGTGCTTTCATTTCATCTTTTAAGATTTAATTCTCTTTCTCTATCTCTTTGTCTCTGTCTTGTGCACGTGTGTGTGCACACAGGCGTGCGTGCGTGCATGCATGTGTGTGTGTGTGTGTGTGATGCATGTGACTACAGGTGCCTTCAGAGGCCAGACACATTGGTGGAGTTACACAAAGGTGAAAGCCCCACGAACAGGAGACTAGTTAGTGGGTGCTCTTAACTGCCAAGCCATCTTTCCAGCCCTTCATTTGTTTATTTTTTTAAATTAGCTTTGGCTAGCCTACAAAGAAATGGGTCTCACAGTGACATTTCAGACTGCATCCCCCTTTTTCTTTTCTTGTTTAAAGACAAGGTCTTACTGTGTATCCCAAGCTGGCCTGCTGTGTAGCTCAAGCTGACTTTGAACTCACGGTGTTCCTCGTAGCTTAGCTTCCAGAGTGCTGAAACTACAGGCATGCACCTGCCTCCCGGGGTCTGAATCTGCTCCTTGAACAAAGTTACTTTTAGATTAGAAGGTGATCACACAATTACTGTGCCCACGGACCTCTTGCATATAAACCATGACTACAGCCATGAGCACAGATTTGCAGAGAGAGTAGAGACAAGTAGCTCCTGTAATTAAAGCAATTTTGACCTACCATGGGGAGATTTTTTTAGACTATTTTACCTTTTAACTTTCATCATTTTTTGACTTTTGAATACAATTTACCTTCTGGTGCTGTGCAACATTAGTGCTCAGTAATTACTAATAGCTAGCTGTGTAATACTCATTTACAAGTTAGCCAAAGTTTTCACATTACCAAATGAAAATTTGTAACTAGAAAGGGTGAAAGAAAACAACACAAACAAAACCCCTACTCATTTCTGCCTGCTAGCTACAGCACCAGAAATGCCACCAATGCCCAGATTAAAGCTGGCCTCGAAATGAAGACATGTACCGTATCTAGAATATGCCCATCAGGTCAAATTGTAGACTTAGCAGATAAAAGTTGGTGTTTATGAAAGTGTGCAATGATTCATAAATAATAAGTCTTGACCACACTCATTACCTTAGAAGGCTTGTTGAACAGGCAGGCACCACCACCACTATTCAGGAAGTCATGATACTCCTCAATATTGCACTGAGTGAACTTCTTAGGGAGATAATAGCTGTAGGCGACAGAAAGTGACAGAAAGTAGGCCTTGCTACAGTGTTAGTATTCCGTGTTTATTTGCTAGACTTAAATTTGAACAGTGTTAAAATTTCACAACCAGTAAACCATTGTATTTTTAACTTTTCATTTAGTGATGTATAGTGGCTACTGGTTGTTCATTTATTTGCATATGAATTAAAAGAAACATGCAGCACCTATGATTTATACCAAAGATGATAAAAGAATGAATAATGTACAACTAGCTACAACTCAAACATCAGACAAAATAACTGCCTATAATTTATAATATGTGTCAGGCCATGAAAGCCAAAAGAAAATCTAAGGGATTGTTCCAGTCTGAAGGTATGTAAAGAAATTAAGTCTAATATGATGCCTCTTTCTGAACCTTCAGCTATAAAGGACATTTCTGGTATATGGATCACTCTTGAATGTGGGGAACTACACAATTTTCCTGGCTCTTCTCTGGCTGGTCGGAGGGTTCCTGTTATAGGAAATATACCCAAAGATGAGGGTGACCGAGCACCAAACTAGCAACATGATTTAGAATACCAATGCCTGTAATCCCAGAATTGGGAAGATGGAGGCAGGAGGATGGGTAGTTAAGGGTTGTCTTCTGGATGCCAGCCAAAATACACAAGGCTGTCTCATAAGACAAGTGCAAAAAGTATAATAAGGTTGGAATTTCTTACTTTGTTGTTTGGATGGTTCAACTACCCATATCTTTATTCTCATTTACCTTCTCATTTCCCAGTATTCTGTTGTGCTGTTGTCATAATTGCTTTTTTGATTTGCTAAGCATAATCCTACATGGATTTTTAGCTTCTCCAAATTTGATTGTTATGATTATATTTGAACTTTTTGATTTCCAGAATAAGCTATTTTTCTTTGGAATGCCCTACTCTGTTTTCTTGATCCAATCACAGTTCTAGCCATCTTCGAGGTTTGTCATTATTTTAACCAATGCAGGCATGGACCACTCCATCTGGCAGAAATTCATTTTTCAGACAGTTGAGACTCACTAAAGTGCTGGGTAGCACATTAGTAATTAGTAAACAAATGTAACAAATTGATGGCATGGATTAATTTGACAAGCATAATGTTATCCAAGAATGGAAAGACATGAAAACATGTATTATGAGACATCTCATTTATCATAAGCATGTGAAGCAATGTCACCTTATATATGCAAAGCCTGCAAGTATTACAAAAGACCCATGAATAATAACCAAAATCCAAGGCCTTGCGGAAGATGGAGGGCATGTCTCCCTTGGGAAAGCTGGGATACGAGTGTGCACCATTTTCTCCTCTATAGCCCTTTGAGGAAAGAACCCCGAGTGTGTGGAATGACACGGAAATAATAATAGCACAAGAAAAACAAGCTCTAAAGCCGGGCAGAGTATGGAACAAAAGGAATGGTTCTAACTATTTAGGACAAGAATTGAAGTCTGACTGTGTAAAGACAGGACAGTATGAAAATGAAAGTCCTTCTGAGATAAGTCTTCGTTTTTCTCCCCAACCCCGTGTTCAGTGACACTGCACTATGAAGTAATCCCACCATCACCAGCGAGGACCTGAGAAAGCTACTAATACAGGCTGCATTTCTTTTTCATTTGGGGGTCAGTTTAGCAGAAGGAGATAAAAGGAAAGGGATTTAGTAAGCAGACCTAACAAAAGAAGAAAGTTGTTACCTCATTATCCTTCTACCTCTGCCTAAGACTGAAAAAGTTTCTAGGGTCTTCCCATGAACTTCAAATATTTTTGTTCTGTTTTGTCTTAAACAAGAGATTATTTTGCAAGACTATTTTACATGCGGGTCCATCAAGAGCACGTCCTTTTGGTTTTTCTCGTAACACCTGTAGTGTGTGCACTAAGTTATGGAGGTCACATTCTCAAGAAGGGGACGATGAAGGGGCTCACCCGGTGTCTCCCATCACACATCCGGACCACGTGTCCTCACATTTACACTCGCCTAAAAGAAAACGAAGGCACGGCTCGTTAGAAACAGAAAGCAGCTGCTGCATCTTAACTCCGTGTTCAAAGTGCTCTTTAAAGGCTGCTCTCTAATTCTACTTACATTAAAAGCTTTGGCTACAATGGATAAAAAAACAAAATGAATTTGATCCCATGGGGGTCATATACATCGCCCCAATGCTCCGTGAATGGTCCTATTTTTAAACCACTCTCTTTAAATAGCTACATGAAAGACAATCAGATATCAAAGAAAGATCAAAACCAGTGGCACCATACTAGGCTCCCAGCTTCACCAGTTTGAGGGGAATACTGCAATGTTTTCCTGCTCCTGAATCCCTGGTGCTGAGGCCTCTGATAGAAGGCAGTAGAGAATTCCAGTTGATTAAGCAGAAAGTTCCCAGAATCAGAGGCTGCCTGGCTTGAAAATCCTAGTTTGTCACTCAGGACACATTTAATCCTGAGGACAATATCCTTTTATCATCTAGTCATTTCATCTATAAAGTGGGACTGAGAATAGGCATCCTGCAGGATCATCTTGAAACTCAGATGAGTAGGTGGGTATGTGTAATACGGCATTCCATCATCCAGGAAATAATAGCTCTCCATACATGGCATTCTTATTACAAGCATCCATATTTATAATATTTGTCCTTAAACTAATTAAGTAAATACAGCTATAATGAAATTGCTACCTCAAATACACAGTATGAGACCATTCACAGAGAAGTACATTTACCTACTTTGGAAATTTCTAGTGTATGGGTGCTACTTTAGTTGATCTACATGTTCCTAGGCCTTTCATCGGGTCCGCTTTCAACAAGGAAGTACTGTCTCTTGGGTCATATGCAGAGATGCATTAAGTAAACCATAATACATCATCTGAGCCTCAAACAACCTAGAATTCTCCACAAGCAAATTGCAAATTTCCCCGGTGAGCTACCTTTGACCCTTGTTGGATTAAATCCAGCTTTGCCTTTATCAGCACATGGTTTCACTATTCACTTTACCTGGGGAGTTTTTCACATATGATGTAAATATTCCCTTTATTACTTTTGAAAGCAACATTTTGCCTCGGGTTTGCATAAATCTTGCTGTACCTCCCACAATCCTGATCAAGCAACTGAATGAAAAAGAATCTCATTCTACAAAATATTTAACAGGCTGTCTATATTAATAAATACAACACAGAGTTAGAACTTACCACTTGCTAATTTCCTCTTGTCGGAGATTATACCAATGTTGTGAGCTAATGACTGAGCAAGTGTGACTGCCATCAAATCAGTTTTTCCAAACTGAAAAACAAAGCCAAAGTAAACATAAGTGAATATTGTTCTCCATTAAAGATAGGCTAGAGAAGACGGTGAGGAGCAATTGCTAACAAGTCACTTCTAAGCATTTTCCTTCCTTTCTGGTGTGCTATGTTTTGAGACTGGGCCCCTCTATGTTGCCTAGGTTTACCTCCAACTCATGGTGATCCACCTGCCTCAGTCTCCATGTTGCTTGGATTATAGACATGCACTACTATCAACGATATTATCAAGGATATTCGATGCTATAAGGAAAACAATATATTTATTTACCAGAGAGAGAGAGAGAGTCGCACAAACCAGGAGTTAGAAGCTTGGCTGGCTTCCAGGAGAAAAGGGAGGTTCCTTTTCCTTTCACTTCCTTTTATATCTACCTGTGTCAGTTTACTTGTCCCTGCCCTCATGGGCGGATAGCTTTGTGGGGTTCACTCCTACACACTACCATGCCCTAAATATTTTCTTTAGTTGAGGATAAGCATCCTGTAGCTAGTACTGAACATGCATTTGGGATGAAGCAGTAGGAAACAAATTCATATGTGACTAAGCCTTGGAAGAAATACTACGAGCCAAAGAAGCATTTGTTTTATAGTTTGGAAACTTAAATATAATTCTGAATCAAAATTTCACCTGATAACATCCCTGAAAAACTTAATGAGTACATATTTTTAAGCCCGTCTTTGGATAATACATCATAAAACTAAGTGTGTCAAAACATCTGGAACTAGTTTTCTTCCGACGTAGAACAGAAAGCAGCCGTAGCAAACATAATGAGAGTCAGGAAGAGAGGATGGTCTGTGGCCATCAGAATCTTTAATTTTTCAATATGTGGCCTTCCAAAGACTGAAGCATTTGTTTCCACTAAGCTTAGTGTGTTAGGAGTGAACACTTCTCCAGGAAACCCGCCTCTGCTTTTTCGTTCTCCCCAAATTTGTCAAATATGACCCAAGAAGACAGCATCCAGTGGGTTTGTTAGTAGCAAAGCCAGTGCGCTGGGGACTACTCAGTGTGGAAAGATCCTCATCCAGCAGTGTTAATTGGGTTTTATTCTTATTTTCAATGAAGTTAGTGTGCAGATTCTCTCTCTATGAACTGCTTAATCTGGAAATTCTTCTATGCAGAACATGAGCTCAAGCATCAGATATGATATTTTATTCCTCCCTGTCCTGTCATCCGGGCAACCCAGGAACTATACTGATGACTAGTAAAGCAATCGAGCAACGGGCGACCGCGGGCTACTGAAGTACTAGAAGGCGTTTTCAGCCGTCACGCCACTTGCGTTGCACAGATGTTCACACGTACTTCGTTCACGCCTCCTCCTCTCAGCAGCGAGCAAATCCCGCCAATATAAGCTGCGCCGCTCCGGCTACTCTCAAATTGACTTCCCCTTTTAGAAAAGGAAATGAAAAATGCTTACTGCTCACAGTTCAAACAGCCACGCCCCTCTCCAGGTTAATTCACTACATTTATTTTTCTCAGTGCATACGATAAATTCCCAAGGTAAAGAAGGAATGTGAAAATTATTTACATGCGTGATCAAAGGAAAAGGTTTGTTTCTGAGGGCTGCTTCTCCATATGACCAATACATATCGTATATGGAAATACATCTACTGAAAATTAATTGCAGATAAGATGCTCTCTGAGAATACAAAAAGAAATCACTGTTTTGGAGATTTAGCCCAAATAAATGACTTGAATATAATTCATGATAAAGTATCAGACATTCTTGCAAAAATATCAAGTTCAACAAAGGCAAAGGCTGAGAAAATCTTCAGCTTAAACCTGAGCACGCTGTGCAGCACTGTACTGAATGTTCAAAGACAGAACTGTAGCTATGGGACTGCATTAAGACAACTGATGAAGTCCGAACCCAGACGGAACTGAACATGGACTACGAACTACGGAAGAATATCACACGGTGTTAAATGCTGTTTTTACGATTTACCGCTGGATGACTCAAGTATTTAGCAGTAAATGCAAACTGGTTGTGTCCAACTCATTCTTGAACAGGAAACAAGAAAAAAAAGCAAGTCTTGAATTTGGGTAAAGTGCATAGGTAATTAGTTTCCTTATGGCATTCTGGCACCTTTTCTCTAAATTTGAAATCAGATAAAAATTAAAAATAACACCCAAAATGCATCTTCTGCATCTAACTTACAACTGTCCTCAGTGGCTCTGATTTTAGATCAGGCCTTAAAAATTCTGCAGCATATACTTTGCTGTTATATAAAATATGTGCATCGCTAAAAGGAAGAACACAGGAGAGAATTGACAACAGGTTCCAGAAACTTGCTTAGCTCTTACCTCAAAACCCAAACCAGGGAGAGCAGTGGCATTAAAAAGTGCAAATTTTAAAGAATATAAAGAATTGCTGGGAATTCTCCGTATGGACTGACAGTATATTTACTCAGCAGATGCTCTGACTACGCATTGGAAAGCTAACGAAATAGACATGCAATAATAACCTAGGTCACTTAAGCCTCATGAAAATTTCAAACAATCTATATTTAAAAACTTCTTCCAAATGCACACCCACATCACATAATAACTGTATTATCTCAGAAGGATACATTTCAGTCAGAAAGAAGAGAGCATTCGACATGGAGCCAGAGAAAGGAAAAGCATTTAAAAAGTTACATACGAGAAAAGATGAACTGCGTCACTCTTCTCTTTGATAAAATCCCTCCTGTATTTCATAAACTCACGCAGGGTGATCAGTGGGTTCTCAGAGATGGCGAACTTGTTGTCAGCAGCCCAGGTTTCCATGGCAACCAATACTATCCTAGTCTTAAGTTGGTCTTTATAGATCTAGGGCATTAATGAAATGAATACGTCTCCACACAGGTGCTAAAGTCATTTTATGAAGCACTATAATGTTCCGTCCCTGGAAATGCCTTTGTTTTAATTAAAGAGATCATTACTTTCTAATTTGAATGCACTTCCCTTACAGAACAGAGAATCAAAGTATTTGCCAAGGAAAACCCACTGAACAAAGCAAATTTACCAACGGGGCTGTCTTTTGACAAATACTTATGCTCAACGCGAGGCTTTCCCCAAGTCCATTTTTGGTACCCCAGATACATAATTTACGAAACCTTGAGTTTCTCTTAAAAAAAGCAGAACAATAACGATCCTCTAAGGTGGAGGTGACTGCTACACAACCTGCCCAATGTTGAGGAAAACTTAGAGAGAATTGCTTGGGAGTTTGGCCAATCAGAGCTTGGCCACGGTGCTGGGCATTTCTGAAGAGGCGCTGTTCCCACACGGTCTCTGCACTGATGTCTCCACGTATACTGTGAGCATCTTTGCTAAAGGTTATGGGTCAAGCTCTGTCTTTTACGGCGGGAGACACACAAGAAAAAATGCAACCGTATCTTTGGGCAGCCCACCCTCCCAGACAGGCTACTTATGGAGTCCCTGGCAAAGTCACCGGGTCTCCGAGGTCTTCCTGGCTCAAGTGGAACTTGGAGGAATTTGAATACAGGCACCCTATTACCAACCTACTAGCAATAAGGGGCCATGCTGAGTGGGGCTGGTACTCACCATATCTGCCATGTTCACCACAGACTTTGCATAGGTATTTGTATGCACAACGGAAAGCCGGTGCTTTTTAAACTGAAAGCAACAGACAACAGTGAAGGATGTTTAAAGTCACCAGGACGTAATCATCTTAGGACAGGAAAAAAAAATATCAGAAAAATTCCTAAGGCTTTCTGTCAAAAAAAAAAAAAAAACCTTCAGGGTATTGCCTTGTTTTTTTATCCCCTGGAATCTGGGGACCGGAGGTAAAGATGACTTAATCGCATCCGAGAGACAAAGTTCAGTAAGTTCCACACCAAGGAGCTAGAATATAGCATATAATATATAAGCTTGGTGCACACGAGGTTCTGGGTTCATCCCTACCTCACCCCTCCATTTTTTGCAGGGGAGGGGTTTGAGACAGGGTTTCTCTGTGGGTTTGGAGGCCGTCCTGGAACTAGTTCTTATAGACCAGATTGGTTTCAAACTTAGAGAGATCCGCCTGCCTCTTCCTCCCGAGTGCTGGGATAAAAGGCCGTGAGCCACCACCGCCCGGCCCCCTCCCCATATTTAAAAAGAACCCACCCCATCCGCTGCACAGGTTCAATTTGGGGGTTGTTCATTTGAGAGCTGTTATGAACTGTAAGACATAGAAAGTGAGAAAGACAGTCAATGTGGGTGTGGCCATGTGTGTGAGATTACAAGTTCCTCCTGGCTCTGGAGTAAGAAGAAACCCTGAGGAACAAATCACAAGGAGATCAGAGTACCGTGGGTCACGTGTCTGGTTTGCTTGGCCTCCGTGGTATTCTAAAAGGCTTTATCACATAAAACCCAAAGCACCGAGGGGAGGCTGCTGATAAGGAGCCCATGCTCCTGGAAACAAAACTCTTATCCATGTTCCTGGGAACACCCTAGTGAAATGATTTGGGTCCCCCAAAAGTCACAAAAATAGTAGACACGGCCTAGATGGGAAATGAATGGACTTAGCAGGATTGGGAGAGAGGTAACAGGGCAGATACCAAGAGAAGATGATGGAAGAGGTGGCTGTGGTCAAAATGCATTATGGGCACATGAAAATATGCTAACAAGCCAGGCGGTGGTGGGCACGCCTTTAATCCCAGCACTCGGGAGGCAGAGGCAGGCGGATCTCTGTGAGTTCGAGGCCGGGCTGGAATGAGAGCCTCCAAAACAATACAGAGAAACCCTGTCTCGTAAAACCAAAAAAAAAAAAAAGAAAGAAAGAAAATATTCTAATGAGCTCATTATTATGTATAGCTAATATATAAAACTATCTTTAAAAAAAGTATTTTTGGATCCTCATGACAATTGCTAGTTACTTCCACCTAAGCATGTCTTCTTTTTATCAGTTGTTCCTGGTCGAAAAGATGCTTAGTTGGGCTTCCCTCTTCCCTAAAGCTCCTGTCCTCACTGTGTGACTGCTTGCCACATGTGGTAGACCTCTATACGGGCTGTGTGTGGTAGACCTCTACATTGGTAGCCCAAGTGGGCAGTTGCCAATACTACAGCCTGTCTGCCATGGGTGCTTTTATCTAACAAAATTGTGTTCGAGCTTCCAAAGGTGGTGTGTGTGTGTGTGTGTGTGTGTGTGTGTGTGTGTGTGTGTGTTTACACAAATGGCTTTTCCAAGTCAAAAGGGGTTTTTGCTTCTTTTAAAAATAGTGTTTACACAACAGCTAGGTGCAAGGTGTATAGAAAGAAAGGGAGAGGCAAATCTTACCATGATATGGTCATTCACGATCATTAGTTCGATGTATTTAGTTTCCTCCTCTACATTACGGGGAAATCGAAGAAGCTGTAACACAGTGAAGAAAAAAAGAAAAGAAAAAAGACAAGGCATCTAAACTTAGCTGCAAAGACTAAAAGCATGAAAGAAATCAATGAAACAAAAATCTCTTTTCACTTCAGCATTAACTTTTAAACTCTCGTCAATTTTCTTAGTTTTTGAGTAGATAAAAAATGTGTGGTTGGAAAGAAATCAATAAAGAATAAACACCAAGGATGAAATTGTTCTCTTGCCTCTATTCCCTTCTTCCACCGGGTACAGCAAATTGCTACTATTTTTTACCAAAATGTTTAGACAAATATAATTAAATATGAGTATATGCCTCATAACCTATGTATTTCTTGCTTGTCGTCATCGAAACGTTTTTATCTAGTGGTGGTATGGAAAGTAACACAAGAACAACATTGAAAGAGGGGACTGGCACTCTTCTGAGTCATCTCCAAGTCTAGGAGTGGCCATGACTTTCTTCTGGTGTGGTTCATAGGATCCCCACAAGCTACAGGGTGTGATCAGCATAGTGGCGGAGTGCCCAAGTCGTCTTGGAAGGTTTTTACCCGCCACATCTTCCTGTTCAACAACACATTCTCCTCACTTTACCACAATCCATCAATATTACCAGGGCAGCCACCCCTTCTGCCCATCCATCACCCGGTCAGTAGCAAGATCTGTGAAATGGACTTCTCTTTTATGCCATGGTTCAATCGAGGGTCCCTCCCGCCCCCCCCAAGTAAATCTTGTTCACTTTCCCAAGGACTATTTCTCTGATGAGGGCATACCATCAAATCAAACCAGAATCAATAGACATATGTCTGAGTGCTGTATTTTAAACAAACTAAAAATATACAGCCTCATAGATTTTTGTCTCTTTCTAAATTTATTCTCTAGACTTTAAAACAAACCAAAAAAAAAAAAAAGACTCTTGAAACACTAGCTTCATAGAGAATAATGGACTGTATTTTTGTATTTAAAAACCAAACAGGAAAACCAAATTGCACCCAATGGCAACAACCTTCAAAAGCAAAAACACAAAACAAAACAAAACAAAACAAAAAACAAAAAAAGTTCCTACTAAGACAACAAGATCTCCCTTGCTAAGTGTGGGCTTCCTAGTTAATCGAGAAGACTGGAGCTGGGCGGTGGTGGTGCACGCCTTTAATCCCAGCACTTGGGAGGCAGAGGCAGGTGGATCTCTGTGAGTTCGAGACCAGCCTGGTCTACAAGAGCTAGTTACAGGACAGCCTCCAAAGCTACACAGAGAAACCCTGTCTTGAAAACACAAAATATATATGAGAAGACTTGGCAATGCCTGGGACTTGCATGTGGACACAGTATCACACTAACTCAATTTTATGGCTTCATGAAGAGGTAAAGGCTCACTCCCCTTTAGTCAATAACAAGATGTTGAGATGCTTCTGAAGAACTTCAAGGCAAGTGCTAGTAGGACATTTCTCCTACTCTTTCAGGTCAGAATTCATAGCAATAAACAACTTTGTAAATTAAATCTTCATGGACATTATTTTTACCTGCATTTAACTTAAGACATCCATGTGTCTGTGTCTAAAGAACATATTTCAAGCTTGTGGTGGTGGCTTGTTGAACACACTGGCTTCTAAGGAGTGGTTCAGAGAGTGTGTGCGGCTACAGACACCCGTGGGACCAGACTTTCTATGAGAATCCCAGCTCCTGTTTGAGCCTTGTGCATCCTGTCCTTATGAGTAAATAGGGACCATAATACTACCTTCTTCATAAGGATAGCATGAGGAGCAAAAGTGTTCACATTCTGTCCAATCCTTCAATTAAACAGTTAAAATTCTTGCAAAATGGACATGTACATGCTGAGTTTTCAGCAAACATTAGCAACTATAATTCACATAAAAATCTGCTAGGAACTGTATTTTATTTTACCAGACATGGAAGCCTATGCCTGTAATCCCGGAACTATGGAGAATAGGGCAGGATGAATGCTGTGACTTTGAAGCCACTCTGGGCCCCAGAGTGAGACCAAGTAAAACAAAAGAAACGAAACATCTCACAAACCAAGCAAGTATTCCTCCTCTAAGCTATATACACGGTGCTTTTACAAACAGGGTCTGCTTACATTGTCCAATATGCACTTGAGCTAGCTCTATAGGCAGGTGTAGAACTCGTGGCCTCTCTGCTTCACCCTCCCCAGTAACTGTTACTAAGGCCCATGCTTCCGTTACCCTTGCTTGGCATGTGAGCGTTGCTAGGTTCGATCCTGGTCAGTGGCCAGATGCTGACACGTGTGTGGGGAACAAGCTCGTGCGCGATGAGTATTGCCCTGTCCTCTCTTAAACAAACATGCTTCACACAGCCCTTAACAGATTCCCTTTAATCCCCATCGATTTCATTACCCGGGTGCTTCTTACGTCACACGCACACAAATGCTCCCACAAACCACCATCGCCATGATTGCGATGGGTTGATTCTAACGGCAGATCTGTATTCCGGGCCATTTGTCAACTATGTGACATAGGGCGAGTCGTCGTCAGACGCGGGAGCCTTGTGAAAGAACAGCACCCGCCCTGTGGCTTAAAGTATCTTAAGGACAGTTGGTATTAACACCATGTCCAGCTGAACAGTCCTAAAACTATGTCCTCATTTATATATTAAACCCAAGGCAGTTCAAGTGAGCAAAGGCATTTTGTGACTTCAACGCCTGTCAGGAATAGCAAAGAAGACCCCTAACGTGGTTCATATCTGGGCAAGGGAAGAAATCCTGCTTCAAACAGAGACCCCATGACGCACGGAAATGAGGGCTCCCCATTCCTCCATCTTCCAGCCACTACCAGAATGCATTCTGTCACTGCTTTCATGCGGCTGCCTGGTCTGTGTACCCGCACCCACAAATAACTACACTAGTCCCCCACACATAGACACCGACTGTACACTCAAATCATCACCGGTCACCAAGTACTCTAAATGTCACGGCTTACACCTGCAAACACATACCTGCCGTTTGCTCCGCTTTAGTCTCGGCTTCAAAATAAATTGTGGTGGAGTAACATTGACTCGTTGAAATTCTACAAGGAAATGAAAACAAACAGTGCATAATGTAGGACGTTCTCCAAAGTGATGCAAGTGATGAAAATGGAGGGAACTAAAAAAATAATCCTAATTGAGTAACCCACACCCAGAAAGACAAATATGGTATGGACTCACCCGTAAGTGGATATTAGCTGTATAGTGATTGGTCCCACATGCATGGGTATTGGGCAGCAATTCTTTTATTATTTTAAAGAAGTAGTTGGGAGGGAGTATGGGGACAGATCTGGGAGGAGTTAGGAGGAGGAGCCGGGGGATGAATGTGATCAAAATATATTATATGGATGTATGAGATTCTCAAAGAATTAATAAGGACCATCTTAGAAACATTAATCCCAGAATGGTAGCATTAGGACAATAAATATCTCAAAAAGAAAGAGTCACAGGACATAATGATAAAAGGGTCAGTTCACCAAAAGGACATAGCACTTCTGTCGATCGTCCATGAGTGAGTTTAGCTGGGAGTCTCTCCTATTAGAGCCTTCAGAGGCAGGGACAACCCCAGCTGACAGTTATACTACAAAACTCAGTGATGGGCACTCAGCTAAGCCACATTTGGGCCTGACTCTCAGGAGTCTTGAGATAATGTTTATCCAGCAACCTCTGTACTAAAACGGGAACAGAAACTGTAAATGTCTCCCATATTTATTTTCATCTTTTGTGATCCAGTATATCTGGAAAGGGCTGAGAATTCATTTTGTTTTGTTGTGCTAGGGACTAAACCAGGGCCTCATGCAAAACAAGCAACAAACCCCGCAAATCCATGAGGAAACAGTTATGCCATCCCCGTGGACTGGAAGACTCACTGCTGAGCTGTCTGTTTTCCCATGGTCAATCTAAACATTCAGTGTGGTCTAATAAGAATCTAAGAGGAAGTCCAGAAACTGACGAGTTGGTTCTAAAACATATACGAAAATGCAAAGGACCTAGAAGACCTACATAAATTTGAAAAAGGACAAAACTGATTTCAAAATACATGGTAAAGCCACAGAAAGCAAAAAAAGTAGACATGGGTAGCTAAATGAACAGAGTCAACATAAGAGATACTTCAAAACCCATTTTACTACGTAATGCCAATCCAAATAATTCAGTGTTAGTAATGTATCTGACAAAGGCCTTATATCCAGGCTACGCAATGATTTTTTTTCTTAAACTTTTGGCTAAGACCAAATGCAGAATATGCAAATCCTTCTACAATGCAATAACTAAAGGAGAAAATATGACTGATGACTAGTAAGCACACACTCCATATCACCAGCCAAAATACCAGCAGATGGAAGCACATGGCATACCACCATGCACGCTAGAATACCAGCAGATGGAAGCACATGGCATACCACCATGCACGCTAGAATACCAGCAGATGGAAGCACATGGCATACCACCATGCACACTAGAATACCAGCAGATGGAAGCACATGGCATACCACCATGCACGCTAGAATACCAGCAGATGGAAGCACATGGCATACCACCATGCACGCTAAAATACCAGCAGATGGAAGCACATGGCATACCACCATGCACGCTAGAATACCAGCAGATGGAAGCACATGGCATACCACCATGCACGCTAGAATACCAGCAGATGGAAGCACATGGCATACCACCATGCACGCTAGAATACCAGCAGATGGAAGCACATGGCATACCACCATGCACACTAGAATACCAGCAGATGGAAGCACATGGCATACCACCATGCACGCTAGAATACCAGCAGATGGAAGCACATGGCATACCACCATGCACGCTAAAATACCAGCAGATGGAAGCACATGGCATACCACTATGCACGCTAGAATACCAGCAGATGGAAGCACATGGCATACCACCATGCACGCTAGAATACCAGCAGATGGAAGCACATGGCATACCACCATGCACGCTAGAATACCAGCAGATGGAAGCACATGGCATACCACCATGCACGCTAGAATACCAGCAGATGGAAGCACATGGCATACCACCATGCACGCTAAAATACCAGCAGATGGAAGCACATGGCATACCACCATGCACGCTAGAATACCAGCAGATGGAAGCACATGGCATACCACCATGCACGCTAGAATACCAGCAGATGGAAGCACATGGCATACCACCATGCACGCTAGAATACCAGCAGATGGAAGCACATGGCATACCACCATGCACGCTAGAATACCAGCAGATGGAAGCACATGGCATACCACCATGCACGCTAGAATACCAGCGGATGGAAGCACATGGCATACCACCATGCACGCTAGAATACCAGCGGATGGAAGCACATGGCATACCACCATGCACGCTAGAATACCAGCGGATGGAAGCACATGGCATACCACCATGCACGCTAGAATACCAGCGGATGGAAGCACATGGCATACCACCATGCACGCTAGAATGGCGAGCAGCCACAACACCACAGAGAGCATCTGGTGCTCGGGCTTTAGAGTAATTGCTACTGCCACATGGTGCTTGTGCAGAAGACTTGAGCCCTTTAAAGAAGCCGTTCAACAACTTCTCATAAAACAATGCTTTCCAAAGTAGAATCTTTGGGCATCGCCTGGGGACATGCTGGAAAGATAAAGTCTCAAAACAGAAAACTGAAAATCCTGACATGAGGCCAGCAATGTATGGCTACCAGCTTGCCAATTCTTTCGGTAACAGGCCGAAGTTTTATGACATGGATCCCAAGCTAAACATACACCTTCCAAGGTCATCCTTGGGTATTTACTAGAAGAAACAAAAACATGTCTCTATAAAAAAAATGAATGGAGGGAGGGAAAGAGGGACAGAGAAAAAAGAAAAGACATACAAGAATGTTCATGGCTGCTTATTAATAATAGCCTCAAGCTGCATAAACCTGAATATCCATCAGCATGATTGATAAGAACTGTAGTGCATTCACACCACAGAATACACTCTGTAATAAAATCAATAAGTGATTGCTATTTTTGACAAAATGAACATCACAGGCATATGCCAAGCAAAAGAAACTACATACAATACATGGTTCCATTTGCTTAAAGTCCTACAAGAGATAAGACTAGTCAATGGGGAAAATAGGCAGAAAGTAGATTGTAAAAGCCACAGATAAGGAGTGGGATCCTCACAAGGCAGTGTCCCAGTAATAAAGATATTGTATCTCAATGAGTCACACACACACACACACAGGGCTGGTGTGCCCTGCGTATCAGTATCTAAAGGGTCAACAAGCCCACTGAAAAGAATATTTTTTTTCCTCCAAAATGTGTTCTAATGAACATTTGTCCTGACAGATATCATATAACATTAAAGGGTCTATAGCCAAACAAGTTGGCAAATGTCAATTATATTATTTCTGTCTCTAGGAAATAGACAACACCTTGGCAAGATGAAGGTGGTATTGAACCTAAAATAAAATTTAAAAAAAACCTTACTTCTGACTATCTCTTGTTTACTTCTTGTTTGTTACAGTAAATAAGCCATCTTGAAAGGCAGCACCACTCTTAAAACTGGCAGTACCAACTGTTGATTAAAAAACTAGACACAGAGCTGCAACGCCGCCACTCAGGAGGCTAGACAGGAAAACCAAGGCAAGCTTGAGATCAGGGTGGCTACACAATTGGACCCTCTCAGAAAAAAAGAAAGAATGCCAACTCGCTTCCACAATTATTTCTGAAAAAGAACCCTGAACGAATAATTTTTTTTTAAAATGTAAGGTTACATTGTACCACTCCTATACTGAAGTCTTTGGTGGGAAATTTTTCTTACTTTAAATATTAATCAATGCTGATTGCTTCCAGTAAGACCTATTATACTGTAGTTTTACTCTTTCACAGCCATTCATGATTAATTTTGTTCCCAGAACTGGTGTTTTAAAAGTTTCATAAAGTTGGTGAAAGGACAGTGAACAACTCTGTAGAGAAAAAGGCCCATGTTTACCCTCAGACTTTCCTAAGTAGTGGATTCCTTTTCAAACTGTATTATTTTGGATGTGTGCAATGGCTGGGGGCACGCATGTGCCCAGCCTCGTGTGGAGGACAGCTCTGTGGAATGTGTTCTACCCAGCTTTCATGTGGGCTCTGGGGACAGAAGCAACTCAGTAGGTTTGTGTGGTGAGTGCCATTACCCACTGAGCAATCTCACTGGCCTCCAAAATAGTGAGTTCCATCAAACAGGGTCTCCCACCTAGTCACCAAAGTAGAAAGTGCTGATTTCTCTGTAGGAGAACTACAGGAGGCCAATGGGTTATAACTGAATCCAGAGAGGAAGGGGGTGTTGAAATTTAGCATTGGCTTCATTTTCCCACAAGATGAGATAAGCTATCAACTGCTTTTCTAACAGTAGTTTGGGATTTGCTTTAGGCTGGCAATGTTATCACATCTTCCAGTGAGTGCTTCATTGCAACCTTTCAAAGTGCCATGATCCTTGTCCTTTAGTAGCCGTGGAACCCTGGAAAGCATTGTTCTTTGTCTTCAAGAGGAGTTATATTAGCACACAAAGCTACTGCAAACACTAAGTTAACTAAAAGGAGCTGAAGACAAATGCCCATTGTATGATCAACGTTCCAGGAACACAGGGTCCTAGCACTGAGGCCAACTGCGTTGGTCACATGACATGTGGATCTACCTCTGCAATCAACATTTACAGAAATTAAGCTATAAACATAAATGAGAGGAAAATACGTGCCAATTTCACAAGCGGCAAACAATTACGTAAAAGGTTAAATTATAGCTTTTGCTTAAAATGCTAGAGCAAAAAAAAAAAAAAGATGAAGAAAACAACACATGAAGAGATGATTCATGCCTGTGTTCACAAAACCATCATTTCACAAGGATGGAGTTTCACATCGTTTAACATTTCTTACTCTAAAAGTATTTCTCATCCCTAACACTGAGTCCTAATTTCTTAAATGTCCCTTCTGTGTGTTTAAGCCATGCTTTTCTCTGAATATCTCAGTTGTAAACAAGAAGTCAGTTTGCATTTTATTCTTCCCTTTGGTGCTACTTGGCAGTCCCTCTAAAATGCCATGAGCAATTGTCCATTATTATTTAGCCTATATATTGGCTCCAAAGTAGTAACTGAACTACCGGGTTGTTGTTTAAAAGCAAGTCCCAATATGAATACCGTACCAGTTGGAAGGTCGTCCAAGGGGAACTCAAACCGTCTGGATCTGTAAACCGAGTGAAAACGAGACTCCCCCTGAAATAACACAAAGGGCAGAGACTGAGTCCATGGGAAGCAAGTATCCCTGCTTCAGGCAGTCACAGCTGGAGAAGCGAGGACTACAAGTTCTCCGGATCTTCTAGGGGCCATGGGCTACTGCGCAGTCCCGCTCTGCAGTGCTTTCTTCCATCACCTCAGCCACCAATTGCAACCAAAAGGCCTCACAGGCAGAGGAGCCAAAGCTGCAGTAATGGAAAATGAATGAATGGACCGAGATCCCCAAGGGAAGATAAGACATCTTGGAAAATGGATTAATGACTGCACCTCCCCTGCCCCTACTTTAAGAGCCGGATAGCTTAGATAGGCAGTGACGGAAGCTACCGGTGACTGCAAGCAAGATGACAGACACAAGCGATGCCCAGAATCCTGACATAGACAGTTCTAGAAAGCAGGAGATAATGCAACACTTTAGCCTCTAAGCAAAATTATTAAGCATTCAAGTGATTTCATCTGGCTTCATGTAAGTGCCAAATAATTAGAATGTCATAGTATATAAGTTAAGTGCAACTTCTAAAAAAGTTGGTTTCCCAAACAGGTTGTTTAACAGGTGAACAAACAATGTGCATTCCTGGAAATTAACTCCTCTGTAAATGTTTAACTAGCATTGCTTGAAACATGAAGTTCATTTGTATATGCAAAGCAAGGATTGAAAACTATATTGTTTCTTCATAGTCCATCATAGATTGCTCTCAGCCAAAGAGTAACAAAGGGCATTGTAGTCTATAATATTAACTCAATCCTTTCCTAACTTGCAGCAAATGTTCCAAGTAGAAATACAACAGGAAGGCAACCAGTTACCAGCCAAGGTGAGAGCTCTCACAGGACACCAATCTTACCACCACCTCGATTTCTAATGTCACAGCCTACAGAATTATGAGAATATACTTTGTTGTATAAGACACACCATCGTGATATTTGGTGCAGTTGTCTAAACTAAAGCACATCATGTGACAGAGAGAAGTTGTCATTTCAGAACATACTTCAGGGAAAGTATTCCCAACATAAGAAAGGAAAGGCAAGAAAAATTAAAAATTAAAAACTGTGTGCTTGATTTACTCAATATTGCGTGTGTGTGTGTGTGTGTGTTGTGTGTGTGTGTGTGTGTGTGTGTATGTGTGTGCGTGTGTGTTGCCCTGGCCCTAACAATACAAAAATAAGCAAAGGGTGGGAAGGGGAGGAAAGAAGAATGAAGGTCTTCACACCAATGCTGACATTCGCATAGCAAGCAGAGCACTTACTTGGGAGGTCTCATTTTCTTCTGGCTCAATGAGATATGTGTGGTTCCCATCATAGAACATCCCACTGCCAGGTACAAGAAAAGAATTAGACATAGCTATCAAGTGTCAACCAGAGCAAGATTATTTTAGAGTCAGTAACACAGGACTGGTTACTTTCAGTGTCTATTTCCCAGACCTGTCCATCCTCAGCAGACAAATGGCACATTGCACAGCCATAGCACACCACACACACACACACACACACACACACACACACACACACACACACACTTCTGTGAGAAAAAGTCCCCTTCCTCTGATCCCCCCAAAGGCAGAACCTTCCACCTTGAACTCCAAGCTCAAGACTGGATTCTCCAGCAGTTCCATTATTCTTATAACATGGAATTCTGAGACTTACTAGAGGCCACCCTAGAGTATCTGTTAAAGTGTAAGCCTCAAGGAACCCTCTGCAGATTTCTAGGCTGGGACTCTGGAAGCCATATCTAAAGCAAGCCCCAGGCCACAGTGGTGGCATATCCCTTTAATCCCAGTGTGCTCTGTCAGCTCTGCCTCGAAAACTAAAACAAATCTCAGAGTCCGGAAGTGGTGACATAAGCTTGTAATCCCAAGGACTTGTAGGTGACAGCAAGAAGATCACACGTTCAAGGCTGACCTGGGTAAATTCATGAGAGCTGTACAAAAAAAATCAAACGTTAAACATCTGACAAGGATACAGCTTGTTGGTTGAGTATCTGCCTAACATACACAGCCATATAGTATTGGGGAAAAAAAAAAAAACAAGAAAGCCCCTGATGACAAAAACACCTCTGTGATGCTGATAACACAGGCTGCCTGAAATCACACTGACAATGACCTCCAGCCATACTCTGGAAGGTGCTTTGCTAATGAGGTGAATGCATTCGAACAACTTGCCCTCAACTACATTTTTCCATGGCTGTAGGGAGGGAAGCCATGACCATCTTCGCTGTAGAGGAGAGACACTAAAGTAACCCTTCCTAGATTCTATATCCCGTGCAAGGAAGACAAGAAGCTGTGCAGTCTGGGTACATGAACTGACCGTCCTCAAACTGAGACCACCTTCGTTCGTTCATTCATTCATTCATTCATTCATTCATTCAGTGAGGAAGGGGATTTAAGTTAGGAGACCATGAATTTTATGGCGGAAATCAAGCGGGTTCAACTTAATAACCAGCACTAGCAGACTGGGTGTGGGAGAGCTGAACAAGAAGACTCCTCCTAGGAGATCGGGGCAAGGCTTCACAAGGAAGACGGCCCACCTACAGTGTACACAGGGCATTTCAGATGCTCTCGCGGCATGATCCGGGAACAGCAAGAGGACAACACAGTTAGGAGCAGAATGGCAGGGGGCAGAGGAACAGAAAAATGCAGGCAGTGGCCCTGCTGGAAGGCATAGTAGGTAGCCTCTTCTGAAGGCCTTGACTGTCACTCTAAAGGGAAGATTGTCATGCAGGCTTCTAAAGAGAGGACATGCCTTCTCCCTGCTTTGTTTTGTTTGTTCTTTGGGACAGAGCATCTATCAACCGGAGGCTGGCCTAAATTAACGGCTATCTTTTTGCCTCTGCCTCCCAAGTGCTAAAATTGCAGGCATGAGTCATTATGCTTGGTTCTCCCCTGCCTTAAAATATCCCACTTACAGTGTTATAATGCTCTATGGAACTGCAAGGCTGAGGGTAGGGATTAGTAGAATGGGGTTACTATAATAATTATAATAATGCAAGATAAAGAAGATAGTGGTAATAACAGAAGTGGTGAGAACTGGCCAAATTCTGGAGTGAGCGTATGTGTGTGTGTGTGTGTGTGTGTGTGTGTGTGTGTGTGTGTATGTATGTGTATGTGAGAGACAGAGAGAGAGAGAGAGAAAGAAAGACAGAGAGAGGCAGAGAGACAGACAGAGACAGAGAGAGACAGAGACAGAGACACAGAGAGAGAGAGAGACAGAGAGAGAGAGAGAATCTGTGTGTATGCATTTGCACGTCTGTACTTTTCTTTGCTGTTGAGGATTGAACTCAGGGCCTCACAGACTAAGCCCATGGTATATCACTGAGCCACATGTCCCGCTTAGATATATCTTGAAAGTAGAACCAAAAAAGATTTGCTGAGAAGTTTGATGTGGTCTTTGCCAGAAAAAAAAATCAACAAAGACTCTAAGGTTTTGACCTGAGCAGTGTAAAACAGCGTTGACATTGTAAACAAAGTAACAGTTGCAGAAGGAACACAGTAGGCAGCCCCAGCAGGCAGAGAACAGGAAGGAGGGCACAAACCAAGAGTGGCTTAGGACCTCTCATTCTGGAGATGTCTATCTGCTATCCAGAGATCCTGCAAAGGGGGTACCTCAGTTGCTGTCCCACTCCTGTGAAGAGACACTGTGACCAAGGCAACTTATGCAAGAAAGCATTTAACTGGGGACTGGCTTACGGTTTCAGAGTTAATCCTTGGTCATCATGGTGGGGGACATGACACCAGGCAGGCACTGTGCTAGACAAGAAGCTGAGAGCTACCTCCCGATCATCAGGCAGCAGGCAGAGAGAAGGAAACTGGGATTTTGAAACCTCAAAGCCCACCCCAAGTAACACACCTCTTCCAACAAGGCCACACCTCCTAATCCCTTTTAAACAGTTCATCAACCAAAGGCTAAGCATGCTAAAATATGAGCCTATGGGGCGGTTCTCATAACAGCCTCCATAGGAGATTTTGAAGTACATATGGCTTCATTTCCTGCTAAAGAAAATGCCTGACACCACTCTGGTTGGATGGACACAGTGTTTCTACTGAGATTAGGTGCCTTGTGGTTCTACAGATACTGGGCTCTGGTCAGGCACCTACATTAAAATTTCAATTTTGGGGTTTAAATGATCACATGATAGCCAGACTGTTGGTCACAGAATATTATCCATCTCTCATTGATCATGTTATGAAATCTACTGGTGTCCCTGAGCTGTAATTACAATGGTTTCCAGGTCTGCCTCTGTCTGCTGGAACGTTGTCCACATGTCTTAAACTTTCTTACACTCACAGAACAGCTCTTCCCACATCTGCACAGTTTGCAAATGTAAGTGTGTTTTCTAAATATGAATGACACTGAATTTGGAATTTAAATGATAAACAGATATAGTATTAATGTAGTCTTTTATACTATTACTGATATATACATCTGTTTTGATTCCTCTTCAAAACAGACAAAATATGACAGACATTTTTCTCTCTAACACTGCTAAGAACTGAACAGATCCACCCAGAATACTATATAACCATTAACCTTTGCCAAAGTTCCCAAGGCAAGCAGATTGTTTTGTTTAAGTACAGTGTTACTACCTGTGATAATTTTCATGAACTTTGGCACAAACAAAAATCTACTTGGGAAGAGGAGATCTCCAGTGAACTACCTTCATTAGGAGATGAACTACCTTCATTAGGAGATGAACTATCCAGTGAACTATCTTCATTAGATGGGCCTACGGATAAGTCTATGGGGCATTTTCTTGAGTGATGACTGACATGGGAGGGCCCAGCCTACTATAGGCATTCCCTCCCCTGAGCAGATTCGTCTGGGTCGTATAAGAAAGCAAGCTGAGCAAGCCAGTAAGCAGCACCCCACGGTTCTTCATCAGTTCCTGCCTGCCTTCCCCTGCAGATGGACTACAGAAGTAGGCTGAATTAAACACCTTCCTCCCGAGTTGCTTTTGGTCAGTGTTTCCTCACAGCAATAGAGGGCAAACTAGGATGATGTCCAGTGGGAAAATCAGGCTTGTTTGCTTTTTTATTTTCACTGGGTTTCATTGCATGTTGTGCAGGGAAGCATCATTGAGTGCAAAGAAAGATTCTGAGATTATCTGCACTTAGAAGATTCTGATTCCCACCCCACTGCCCCTTTCTCAGTTCCTGTCTACCAAAACCTGAACCATCCCTCCCCTGCCTGTCACAGTATACCAGCCCCTAGCACCAGCACAGGCCCCCTGCTTGACCAGAGGCCACACCAGGACTACAGGTAGTTGGCCTGCCTGAGCACTGTCCCCATACAGTGCCCACCCAGTGTGCCCCCAATCACCCCAGCCCCCCTTATCATGATATCCCAGATTCCAAGTCCTGCAGAGGAACCCCTGAGGTCATCTCAACCATCGGAAGTCCAGCCCCAACTCTTCTTAACCACAGTCCAGTCAGAAGACCAGAGGGGAAACAGAAACCAAGAAACAAAACACCCAAACAACAAAGACAAACTCAGAAATGGGCACCTAGAGCTATAATCCACCCCAAACTCAGGTGCCTAGATGTCAGTGTAAGAACACATCCAGGAAATGTGGGGCACTATGAAAAGGCCAACCCTAAAAGTAACAGGAATACATGAAAGATCAAAGGCCCAGAAAATATTTTTAACACAATCATAGAAGTTTTTTCTAACCTAAAGAAGAACATACCTATAAAGATACAAGAATCTTACATAACACCAAATAGATTGCACCATAAAAGAAAGTTCCCTTGCTTTTCACTAAACACTAAACATTCAGAACAAAGAAAGAGTCTTAAAAGCTTCAGGGAAATAGGCTAAATAACATATAAAGGCAGACCTATTAGAATTACACTCGACTTCTCAATGGAGTCTCTAAAAGCCAGAAGTGCTTAGAAAACTGTCCTTCAGACTCTAAGAGACCACAGATGTCAGCCCAGACTGCTATACCCAGCAAAACTTTCAGTCACCATAGATGGAGAAAACATGATAGTTCGTGATAAAGTCAAATTTAAACAATATCTATACACAAATCCAGCACTACAGCAGACGGTACTAGAAGGAAAAAAAACTCCAACTCAAGGAGGTTAACTACACACATGAAAACAAAGGAAATAAATATTTCACAACAGCAAATCCAGAGGGAAACACACACACACACACACACACACACACACACATGACAACACTACCACCAACACCATGAACACCATAATAATAGGAATTAACAATCATTGGTAATAAATGGCTCCCAATATCAATATATTCAATTCCTAAATAAAAAGACACAGACTAACAGAATTGATGCAAAAACAGAATCC